CGATTTTCGGGTTGGCGTAACCTTTAATTGGGGGAAACTTACTACTACTATCATTACTATCAATAATATTTCTATTTTTATTACTGAATATATTTTTATTGTTATTAGTGTTGTTGCTAACTAGTGTATTATTATTGATGACGCCAATATGGGAACTATTACTCATAAAGTTATTGCTACTACTACTATCATCTTAATATTAGCTATTTACCCGTGATTAGATCGCCTTTCGTGACCTTTTGAGTCTCGCTATCTTCCAGTACCACTTCAGAAGCATCTGAATGATCTAGAATTGTAAGGCTGAAAATACTTTATTGTTAGTTATATTATCAAAATGTCCTTTCTCCTTTTAAACTCATTTTTGTCCTGAGTGTTTTTAGTAACTTCAAAAAATTTTGCCTTTGAGAATCTAGCTCTTTTCTGAGTTCTTCATTTACAGCCAAAAATTTCGCAATGAAAGCTCGAAGTTCTTCTTCAGAGGATAAACTCAAAATTAATATAAAGTTAAATTTATCTTTAAAAAAGTAGAGGTTTAAAGAAGAAAAAATAAAATAATATATATAAGGACTGTAATAAAAGGTCAGTAGATATAATTTACGTCGATTAATTTTTCTAAATAGTATAAGTATATTTTAAATAAATTGCTAAAAAAATGAAGTTATATAAATATAGCAAATGCTAAGTAAGAATTTAGTGCGCGGGTCAAAACTACAGCTAGGCGGTTTTGTGTATAGTTGTTAATACGTATATATATAAGAGAGACAAGAGACGAACAAAACGACACAAGAAGGTTGAAAGCAGCAAATTGCCACGTGCATTTAAGCAAGAAATACTCGGGACCAGCTTATTAATTTGAACCTTTACAACAGTTACAAAGCTAACAATAATAGGACTATCGGTGAGTTTAACATGGAAGAAGACAAGGAACGCTATCTGCTTGAGAAGACTCAGAGCCTCACAGATGTTTGTATTGAAAAGTATCTTCTTGAAAACGATGAGGTGTTAAAATATATGTTTAATAAATTTTAATAGGGCCGTAAAAAAAGATTAAAATTAAATGCCTTTTTTGCATTCTAGTTTTTGCACCTCCCTTTTTTAACTCACTTAAGACAGTAATAAGTGTCAAGTTAGATTTTGAAATATTTATTTTTGATTAATTTTAAAGAGGGTTAAGTGCTTGTATATAAGTAAACCTTCCAGTCTCTATTGGGAATATTTATCAGATTAATGTTGCAAGATAAATTTGATGTAGAAAAAAAGACTATTTTAAAGTTAGTAATAATATTACTTATTGTTAGCTTATATAGCGCCGCTTGGTTTTAATAAGGCTTTTTTTAAAGTTTCTATTTTAACAGGCTTTAAACTTTTCTGAGTTAAAAGAAAGAAATCAAGAACTTTATAAAACAGTAAAATCGTTACGGTTACGTTATGACGAAAAAGAAGAACTTCTAAATGTAACCCAGAAAAACTTTTTAAAACTTCTTGCAGAGTTCGGGACTTCACTTCGCAAATGGTATTAACTTTTTTTGAAAGTCTTTCTGTTTGAATTTTTACTTATTAGTTACTAAAAGGTTTTTAACTTTGTTTTTTTTTGTTAACCCAATATTATGAATTAAAAAGTTTTTAGTATAATTAATCTTTCTGAGATTATATGAGTTTTTAGCGTAAAAGATTTTTAGTTTAGTAAGAATTTTTTCGGTTTTTAAAAAGTTTCATGAATTTAATAACTTTTAGGGCTTTTTTTAACTTGACACTATATTTAATTTCTTGCTTGCTTGATAACAATGTCCCCGATTCTTTAAAATTGAACAGGTTTTTATATCGCCTGTTTAATTGTATATATTTTATAATTTATTATTTTAATTTTGATTCGTTAAGCTTCAATATACCTTTTTAATTTTTTTTACTCTTTAATAAATTTTCCGTTTTTAAGAGTTTTCATAGGTTAATTTATAAAGTAAAAATTTATGTTACTAATAACTTTTTACTATTAAATATTTGTAATGTAATTATAATAAACATTCTATTTCTTTAACTTTATTTAAGTTACTTATTTACTAAAATATAATTTATTTTCTTCTTACATATAGTTCTGGTTATTATTATATAATGTATTATATATTAATTAAATTTTTTTTACACATAATTCTAATTTTATTATATTTTATACAATTTATTATATATGATCCATAATTATTTTTAAAGACTTAATTATTAGTTTGTCTTTTATTATATATAATTTAGCGTTAATACTATTTTTTAGAAACTTTTTTTTTTACTTTCTGATTTTAATTTTAGTTTACTTTTTTTCCTGAAAGAGCCAATTTCTGAAGATTTCATTAACTCTCTAAATAACTCTTTGGAGCTGCTCTACGAAAAAGTTAACTTTTCTTTGCTTTCGCTAATAAAGAATTTTAAAATATCGAATTCCATTTCTTCAACTTTGACAGGTTTAAATTTTTTTAAAAAATTTGTTTATAAAGCCTCTTTTAATTTCGTATGTAGTTGTAATTAAAATTAAAATTTATTTACCAAAGGTTTTTATTTTCTTGACGTTACTTATTTGTATAAATTCTTTAGTTACGGATGATGTTATTAAAATTCATTTTTACCTGTAAAACATATTTTTAGTAGATTTTACTTATATATCCAGAATTTATTTTGTGAATATGAAAATGTTTTATATTATAATAATTGAAAAACCTAATTTTTAATTTATATTTTTTTATATAATTTGCTTTACATTATAATTTTAAATTTGGATAATATTATAGTTTTCATTTTTTTTTATTTTCTTTTATTAGTTAAATTTTTATATCTTTAGAATTATTATTTTACTTTTTTAAAAAAGTTAACTTTCTTTTTTATCAAAGTGGGTATATTTTGTTTTTACTTTTTTGATTACTATTACCTATAAGTTTTATACTTTTTATTATGAAAAGTATATTTTCTACAAGTAATTTTTCTCTTTTTGTTATTAATAATAACTTCATCACTTTTTCACATTTATTATATCAAATATTTTTATTAGTAGAACTACTATTATACTATTAATGTTTTATGTAAATATTTATTTTTTATTACAAACTTTTCCTATCATAACCTTTCTTAATTTATATTTTTATATATATATAAAAGTTGAAGAGCGTTTAAACTTTATTGATATATTTATTGAGGAGCTGCAAAAAGAACTTTCGCTTCTTAAAGAAAAAGTTTGCTTTTATACATATTTTTATATATTGTTTTTGTTTTTTATTATGATAAAGGTTGATATATAATAATTTCTTTTGATTAGTTCTATAAAAAAAGTTCTTTTACATAATTTTTAGTAGTTTGTTATCCGTTAGCTAATAGTTTATTAACTTTTTATTAATAATATCTAATATACTTTCATATTTTTGTATATTTTAATGTTATTTGTGTACATATTATATTAAAGTCTTAAAAAAATACTTGACTACTTTATTATATCCGAACTTTTAGTTTGCTATGTACAAAAACTTTTCTTCATTTTATATTTTTTATAAGTTATATTTTTGATGAGTTCATGATATATTTTTTTTAAGTGTGCATAAAAAAGTAAGTATTACATATCATTTTTACATTCAGATTATATTGTGAGTATAAAGAAAACTTAACTTTTTTGCAATTAATTTAATTATTTTTTATTAGTTTATTATTTTTAATAAATTGAAACATTTTTAGAAGTTTTAAATAACGTTTACTTTTTATATATATAATTTATATATAAGTAATTTATTATGTGTGTACGAAAGAAACTATAACATTTATATATAATTTGATAAAAAAAGTTTTATATAATTTAATATTTTTTAAGTTGTTTATATTACTTAATACTTTTCTTTGCTTTTTAATTTTTTATTATTATTATAAAAGTATTTTTTGTGAAAATACTTATTTGGTTTTCTTATTATTATTTGTTATTTATTATATTCCAAAATTTTTTATTAATTTATTAACAGAATGAAGGACTTTCGAGCTCTTTACAAGACAATAGTGGCAGTATTTTACTTGAAGAAAAAGAATTTTTCAAGCAACAAAACGACCTCGAGGCCACTTTGAAGCGTTTATTATTAAAAATGGTCAATAATATTGGTAGGAACAGTTTTTTTGGTAGCAAGTTGTATAATAAGCTCAATTTTATTTTATTCAATGACAATCTCATTTTCAGTTCACACATGAGTCATATATGGACTCGCTAATAAACTTTAACTTGTAACAATTTATGATATGCTGGTAGCAAATATCTTTTGTTGTTAGCCTTTAATAAATATCTCTTTATGCAGTAACCGAGTTAGAAACTAATACGCCAACGACATTACATTTCGTTAATTTAGTACTCGTTAACATATAATTAGCATCAACAATTTTAAAGTGGCTCTGATTTACTTAAATTCTGGTTTTTTTAATAAGTCCTGAATAACAGCAATTCCGTCCAATGGGCGTCGTGAATATCAAGCATGAGGTGATCAGCCATGGTTGGTTTGTGTAGGCGGGTCCATTAATAGTTCACGTGTAGTTTACTATTTTCTTGTGCTTGCACATGACCAAAACCAGAATTTTACTAATTACTTTTTTATTCTATTCTCTTTAGACTTTTATAAATAAACAAATTAGCGGTGTGGGGTTTTTAAAAGAAGATAGAGTTATTATTAGTAAACCAATCAGTTTCCTTATTAAGTATTATCATTAGAATGAAGGGGCTTTTCCCTATAAAAACGTACGATAACTTTTTGGCCTTTCCCTTTAGAAAAAATATATATGTTTGCAGTTTCTTTTTTTTTAAAAGAAACATTTATAATAGAATTTATGAGAGAAAAAACTAAAACTGAAGTTCCTACAAACTTCTCGAAGTTCTTATTTATTTTATTATTATAAGTGTTGTTATTATTACTAAATGTTTTAGTGACACACATAATAAAGTTGAAAAAAAAGAAGAGAAAAATATTATTAATGAAAACATTATAGAAACTTTAAATAAACTTAAACAGTTATACCAACGAAGTGATAAGCAAAAGGAACTTAAAAACTCTTTACAGGAAGAAGTATTTATTTACTTTTATTATTATATTACATTTTCTAATGTTTTATATTAAAGTAACTATAAGAAAGAAACTATAAGTATATATAAATATAAATATATTACTTCGTATTCCTTTTACTTTTATTATTCTCTTGTTTTATATATTCCTTTATTTTATATTGTTTTTTTTTTATTATAGATTACATTTATTTTTTTATTTTCTTATTTTTAGAATATTTCCTTACAAATATTTTAATATATATTGTTAATTATTATTATTATAATTATCATTCATATTAATATACTGTTTTATTTATTAATAATTTTTAAAATAGCTCAAGTCTGTCCGCATGGAAATAACGTTAATGAAAGCTCCAACAGAAAATCCTTTGGAGTCTGTTTTAGTAAATACTGTGCCAATCAGGACTCTCCATTCTCATGTTTAATTAATTATTTTTATTATCAGCATTTATTATCGTTCCACTTTTATTATTTTTTTTTATTTTGAATAAATTTTATTTTCTTCCTATGTTTTATTATATTATTTTTCGCCTCAGTTTTTATTATCTTTTATATCATATTTATAAAATTTCTTTGTCCTTATTTCATATATATAAAATTTTTATAATCACTTTAAGTATGTAACTGTTTCATTTATATAAATATATATTAATTATTAGCTTTTATTTTTATTTTATTTTTTATAAAAATAATCTTTAAGTTATCTTTTTATGTTCTTCTTAACTTTTTTTATTTAGTATATATTTTTTTAATATTTTTATTAATATTTTATGTATTATACTTTTGATTATTTTAAGTTTTTAATAACTAATTCATATTATTATTTGTAGTTTACTTAATTTTTTTTATTAATAACATTAACTTTTAATTAAATTATAAAAATTTTCTTTTATATCTCTATTATTTTATTTTTATTACGGATAAAAAAAAATTTATTTTTTTAATATTATGTTTATTATTTTTTTACTTTTAAATACTTTTTATCATTTTTATGTATATCATGTTTACTTTATAATAATTTACTTTTTATCTTAATTGTTTTTTTGTTTTATATATGTATTATCGTTTGTTTTATTATTATTATAATGGTTTGTATTATTTACTATTCTTAAAGTTTTTTTAGTACACTGTGAATACTTTTTTTATTTTTTACTCATATTTATTTTATTTTTATATATATATAGTTTTTATACATAGAGAGTTTAGTTATAATATTAATATCATTATTATTTTTGCAAATATACCTTTTTTATATTTAATTTTTTAGTGAATTCTTTTTAATATATATAATTTATGCAATATTTTTTATTATAGTTCATAATAATAGTCATGTTTACTATTTTTATAAAGTTTTTGATATTTTGAGTTACTTTTTTATTTTTTTATTGTCTTATATTCTATCTTTTACATTTTCTAATAAAATTTATTTATATATTATTTTTTATAATTTTCTATATTTCCACTTTTATCATTTTTTTACGTTTTTATTTATTACTAAATATTTTTATTTATTGTTATTACATTTATTATATATATCTTTTTCATTTATTTTTATTATTGCTATTTTTGCGTAACTATTACTTAAATATATATAATATATTATTATTTTACGTATTATTTTAGTTTAACGTTTTTCTATTTTCCCTTACTGTTATTTTCACTATATGTTCATATCTTTATCTATATTTCTTTTTTTTCTTTTTATGATATTTTAAGAAAATTTTTTAAATTTATATAATTAGTTACTTTATTCTCAATATTTGGTGCAAAACTTAAATTCTGTGAAAGAAAATATTCAAAGAGAGCTTGATTTTTATCAACTTTTGGAAAAATTATTTGCTGAGCAACACGAGGTTGTAAAATCTTCATCATATACATTGAATCTACAATCTATACTTTTAATAATTATTATTATTTAAGATATATATAGTTATAGTATTTTGAACATTTGGTTGAATATATAAAAGTACTATTATATTTTTATGAAAACTTAAGAAATTTTCTACTTGGCATATAGCGAAAAAAGACCTACACCCAGCATATGGGGTCTATTGATAGAATTTTAGTTAAAATGATTCAAAAATATTATTGCATGAATTTCCTATTTCTGGGTCGTTACGAATATTTAATTGTTTATTTACCAAAAGTATCAAATTTTTAATAACAAAAATTCATAAATTTATTCTTATAATTTCTCAATTTGGGCCGAATTTATAATTTTCATATGGAAGTACTATAATATAATGAAATTTAAAGTTTTTAATTTTTTAAAATGAAGTTATAGTCAAAATAAAAGTAGTAAAGCATTTTTTTAATAATTAAAAATTTACATAAAAAAGTAAAATGCTTTGAAGATTATAAAAGTATGTAAAATCTGTTATTAACAATAAAAAAATAAATATTTATGTATAACAAAAAACCAAAAATAAATGTTTATTTATAATTTTATACTATTTTTTTAAAAAAGAAAATAAAGAATAGTTTATGAATAGCGTAACTTTTACTAATACCAAAGAACACTATCTTATTAATAACATATCTATGCTGAGAAAATAAAAACTACGAAAAAAATGGAAAACTTTAATTTTTCTCCTTACCATATGCCTTGCAAAAGCGCCTCTTTGATGTGTATTTAAGCTAAATTTTAATAGCTGATGCTATAGTACTTAGCTCTTACTTGGGTGCGTATGGTTGCACAGCTGAGCTCGTCCCATAAAGAAATGAAACAAGAAAAGTAAATAGAACAAATTAATATTTAATAACATTCAAGAATTTATAGAAGTGCTTTGAAGAATATATAAAGAGTTTATAAGTAATATCTTTTCATTTGTTATGTTTTTTATGAAAAAATAAAGGTTAATAAAAAAGTAAAAGTTGTCTAATTTATAGTACAATTCGGATAATAAACGTCGAAAAATGTCGAAACACATATTTTAACTTAAAGTAAAAGGAAACAGATAATTATTTTTAAAAAAAAATTGTAGTGAATTTTTATTTATGTTAAAGTAAATAAAATTTATAAGAACTTTTCTTTTAAATAAAGAGAAAAATATAAAAATGTTTTGTTTATTTTGAATAAATATTTTTAATGTAATAGCAACAATAAAAAATGAATTGTTATAAATAACGAGAAATATATATAAATATATCTAAGTAAAAAAGGGATTATAATAAGTAATAAAGAGAACTTAAAAGTAGCATAAATGTATCAGTAAAATTAAATATAAAAATATCGGGGTTGTTTTTTATAAATTTTTTATATAAACAATAAAAGTTAGTCATTTATTAATTTGCATAACAAGGATTACAATTTTTATAATTTTATTTCTAACAGTTTTTAATCATTCATCATTTATTTTTCATAGTCATAAAGTTTTTTGTTATATATTTGTTAAAGTATATTTATCATATAAAAACTAACAAATAATTGTTATAATAACTGAATTAAAAATATAAATGAACAAATAACACCACTATTTATTATTTTATAATAATTTAAAATATCTTATAATATTTTCATTTAAATATTTTTATAAAAACTTCTAAGTAATAAAAACTAATGTTTTTTTTGTTTAATTACATATTTTTCATTATTTATGTACAAAAGAATTTTTAATAATAAAGAAAATTTGATAAACTGAAATTATACATATTAGTTTTACTTTTTCATGATTGGTCACAGCTTAGCCATAGCGGTAGGACTGATCCATCTCTTTTTTTTATATTTAATAATGTATTAATGCGATTATAGTTTTTGTATATTTTATTTAAAAACTATAAAAAGTTTAGTAACAAAATCTTTTTTCATTATTATATAAATAATAAATTGTATATTTTATAATATTTATTAAAAGTTTTGTGACGATTTCTTTTATTATAATTAACTAATTTTTTTTTGTTTATATAAATTCATGCATTTTATAGTTTTATATTAAAAGTTTTATTGCAAAAACTTTTAATGTTAATAGGAAATTCATAAATGAAACTATATACATAAAAATAATCACTAATATTCCTTTGAGTCATATTTATAATTAATTTTTTTTAAAACAATATGTTTTTTATAAATATAATAAATATGAAATTTTCTCTTAACAATTGGAAACTTTATTTAAGAAATTTTAAATTCTGTATTATTAGTAATAAATAAGAAATATTAATTATAGTTTATTGTTCAAAAAATTTCTTTATAGGTTTTTAGTATATTTTAGTAAAAACTATTATCATTTTTTGCGTTAGAAACTTTTGAGCAGACATCCCGCCAATCGGATGGTCAGTGCTGGTTTAGTGGTTCTCAATAAAAATGAGCAGAAAAAACTATTTTATGTGAATGAAGTGAAGCCGAAGTTATCAGGCATTTCTTTTCATAATTTTTTGAGTACGTCTCATTATTATTTTTTACTAAACTTAGAAAATTCACAAGTACGATCGGCCGAAGGAAGTTGCAGGGAATTACTTAATTCGATAGATAACTTGCATGTATTACCAATATTACTGTTATTACTATTATTATTGTTTTAAATATTATTATTAGAAGCAAATATCTCAACTTAAGGAAGAACTTTCCTCTTTCGACCATTCACACTTTGATAAAGTAAGAAGCTCGTATATATTTATAGAAATATACACAATTTGTAAAAAAATGAAAAACTTATTATAACTATTTTTGAAGAACTCATGCAATTTTGAAGTAAACTTTTTAGATACCGAAATAGAAAATATTCAAGACGCTGAAGTAGTTGAGGTTTTTTATTTTTCATTAAAAGTTTATATTATTATATGAGGTATAATATTTTTCAGGCTATAAAGCTGTTAAAGGAAGCGCAAGAAACTTTACAAACAAAGAAAAATGTATTATTATCACTGTTATTATTATTATGATTATTATTATTATTATTATTTTTTAAGGGTGAAGGAGTTTTACGCACTGAACTTCATCATATTATTGAGTCGTTTAATAGTTACGCCCAGCAGAACACTCGCTTAGTAGCATTATAATTTATATATATATCACTCATCAACATATTTTTATCAAAGCATATTATATAACTTATGTTATTATTAATAATAAAGGCCGAACAGTTATATAATAAAGACGAGAATTATAATTTACTTCTAGAACAGGTTTATATATATCTTGGTATATATATAATGTTACGCTCTACTAATCTTATGATATACCAATTTATAGCTAATACGCTCTACTAAATTGCAAGAAATTGCTGCTTATGAAAAAGAAACCTGCAACAAAAAGCTCCACCAGTTGACGGTTTTTTGTTATTTACTATATATTTATTTATCTATTGATTTATTATTATTATTAGAAAAGAATCTACACTGCTACTAATTATTTAAAGCTACTTGACGAGAGAACAAAAATGTCTACGAATTTTAATGTACTTTTTATTGTATTTATAACATTTACATATTAAAGTTTTCATATATAAGTGATTATCCCTTTTTGTAAGAAAAATTTATTCGGTCTTTCTTTGTTCGTTTATAGTTATTATTTTTTTTTAATTTTTTACTAATTCCAATTTTTCATTAGAATTATATAAAATTTAACGTATTTTTAAATCATTGACTTTTTCCTGTCTGTGACAATAAATAGGATGCCAACATTATAATTTTATTTCTTTGAGTTGACTTATTCTTATTGGTTTCTTGTTAGTAAGAAATTTTTACTGGAAATATATTATTGACTCCTCACGATAGTGTGAAATATATACCTTTTCTTTTTGGTTTAGTTGATTTATAAAATATTTTTACTAAAAATTATGATTAACTTCCAACACTAAAACTATAATTGGTAATGAAAATTTTTTTCTCTGAAGATTTATCCATTAACTCTTTTACACTTGAACTATGATTTATGTCGATTTTTATTGGTTTATTTGGATTTATTACTGAAGTATTATATTTCCATGTAAATAAAGAATTTATACTTTTTTACTGGTTTACTCGTAAGTGGATATATATTTTCTGAATAATAATTTTTTTTTGGGTGCAAAAAATTGAATTTTTTAACATAAACGTAGTTATATTATTGTTAGTGTTATCATTATTATTAAATACTATTAAGCTTGCCTTGGAAACTGAACTTAATTTAAATATTCAAGCCATTGAAGTATTAAAAAGAAAAATATCAGACTACACACAATTTAGTAGCGAACTAAAAGGATTGGTAGAAAAAATATCAAAAATTCACGATCTGGTTATTATTATATTACAATAAAATATAGCTAATAAGAAATATTATAAGTTTTACTTTATATTATTTTTTACAAAATAGACTTGTTATATTGTCTAAAAACTTTTAGAAAAACTTTATTAATTGTAACAGACTTTTATTATTATTTTTAACTTTTTCAATAGATTCTTAAAGATTATAAAAATAAGACTATTGCGCTAGAAGAGGAGCTGGTTTTGCATAACAGCATTAAAGTTATATTATTCTTTTTCTTATTACTTTATTATTATTATTTACTATATATTCGTATTATTCGCATCTCTTTACTATTTGAAGGTTGTTTACTCTACAGTTCAATAATTATTATGATCGTAACAACCAATAAAAACCTTTTAGAAAGCAGTTTTTTTACTGAACCGAGAAATTGCTGAACTCAAAACTTCGGGACTTCCCGAAGACGATGAATCATTGGTTTAATTTTATTTGTACTAAAAAGTTTTTGTAAAAAAAATAATTTCGTTAAATATATTTTGATGAAAACATTTTGTTCTTTATTTTTTGTATATTTATATATTTTTTATTTTTATATGAATAAATACTATTTTGTTGTATTTATTATATATAACCATTTTTAATGAAATACTTAAATTTTATTATAACAATTCATAATAATCATTAATTATTAGATGATTCTCAAGTAAAAAAGTGAGCCATACTTTTTTTATTAACTTTATTTTTTACTATTATAATGATAACTTTTTTTATAAAACTATTTTACTTTTTTAATTACATTAATTTTTCTTTATTTATTGTAAACAAATATTTATTTTTATTATATAAATATCATAATCTTTTTTTGAGTAAATATTCAAGTATTTATTTGTTACTACTATTATGAATATTATAATAATTACTATTATTATTTTATTATTTCCAAATCAACTTTGCTGCCTCTTTAAATTTTGATATATATAATAAATATAATGAAACATATTTTTATATAAAAGTTTATAAAAGTAATAAAGCTGTTTGTTACTATAATATTATCTTTACTATTTGTTAGCTATTTTATATAATTTTTTGTTCTTATTAAACCTTTAATTAAAATTTATTGTTACAATTTTTCAAGTTTAGTAAAGTTATAAACTTTTATCAATATTACTTAATATAACTTTACTAAACTCTAATAATTATCTTTTTTTAATTTATTTTTATGTATAACTCACATAAAACTACTTTATATATCCCTTTTTATTATATTCTTATATACTTTCAATTTAGATATTATAATTTTTTATGTAAATCTCTTTACGTTAATTATCATCCTTTTATTTACTATATTAATAAACGCCTATTTATATTTGAAAAATTTTTAAATATATTTACCCTTTTTCATATAGTTTATTACTTATAATGTTATATAGTTTTATATATTATGAGTTTCATTATTATTAAAAAAGCTACTTTTTTTATAGGAAGAAGAAGTAAAGATGTATAGAGATTTAGTGAGCTGTTCTCTATGCAAAAGTCGCAGGAAAAGTGCTGTTCTTACTAAATGTTTTCACGTGTTCTGCTCGAGTTGTATAAAAGTGAGCCTGAATTTTTACTTGCATATAAAGAAATCTATATAAAAGTTTTTGTTTACTAGTAAGAAAATTGTAAAACTTAAAATAAAGTTGAGTTTGTATATAAAATAAAAAAAGTATATAAAAACTGGAAAATTTTTTATTTTTAAGTAAACAGAAAAAGGAAAAAAAGTTGGATAGCTTAAATCTTTATTAGTACAAAAAGTATATAGAAAATTTATTTTTTTAAGTAAAAAAGCATAAAATAAAATTATTAACCGAAAAAAAAATTTTTTTTTCAAAATGAATATATAAGTTTTATTATATAAATAAAATATATATATAACAAAATTATGTTTGGTTACAAGTAAATAATAAGCGGAATACAAAAATTATTTTTGTATATTATATAAATAAATAAGTTAATTTCTTTTATGAAACGATAAAATAAAAAAAGTTAAGTTTTATATTTAAAGAATATTATTTACTATAAATAATATTAAACTTTCTATTAATGAGACTTAGAAAAAATTTTTATCAATTTATAAATTTTAAAAAAAAATTGATTTATTTTTATAATATATAAAGAAGGTAAAGATTATAATATAAATAATAGTAAAACTTATTACTATAAAAGAAGCTTAAAGTTCAATAAAAGTTTTACTCTTTTCAGAGATATAAACATTAATTGAATAGTTATAAATTATATATAAAAATGTTATTATTTAATATATTTAATAGTAAAGTTTATTATAATATCTGAAAGTTTATAATTAAAATGGTATTAAATATATGATAAAGTTAATAATTTAATATAAATAATAGAAAATTTCTTATTAATAATCAAACTTAATTATATACATTGAGAAATAGTATTTTCAAACTGTATAGTTGAAAAACTGAGTTACTAGTTTGAAAGTAACTTTGTAATATTAATAAGTAAATTTATATTTATAATAATAGTTCAAAGGAAATTAAAAAATTGTTTAAAATGTTTTTGTTTTATTAAAAATGTTGAGGAAATTTAAAAGTTGACTGTCTAAATTTTAATGAAAATAGCAAACTTTTCAGTATTAAATTACCTCATGAAATTATTTTATATGATAACAACTTTTTAATTAATAAAAAAAGTTATGAAACTGTTTAATAACTTGAAAATAATTAATCCATTATTACTAGAATAATGATAATAATAACATTGTTATTATGAGTTGAAGAACAGTATAAAATTTCAGTAAAGCTTATCAAAAGTATTATTATATTTTATAAAGTAATAAAAAAGGATACCCAAGTTATACTTATAGGAAGTAATACTTACGAAAAATATTAAAATAAAAATTATAGTTATAATCATTTATAACTTATTTTTTTTAATGATTAAGTTGAAGTAAACACATACTATGAACTTTTGAAAATATTTAACCGAAATATTTTACCGACATCTTATTTAATATAAAGTTTTTATATATGCAAAGTAATATAATAATAATTATAGTTATAAGTACTTTCATTATAAAGTTATTATTGTATATAAAAAAATATTACTAACTTTAAATATATATGCTTTTAAGTTATAAGTATTCTCACTTTAAAATCCTTATTGCGTTTATGAAATTATTACATTCTTAAAAACATACGAAGTTACAACTATTTTTAATGAAAAGTTATTGTTGTGTTCATAAAAATAAAAATAGTATGAAGTTATTAATATTTTCTACATAAAGTCATTATTTTAAATAGTATAAAGTTATCACATATATTTATCATATTAAAAAATTATTTATATATATAAAGGAATTATTGGAAACTCACCGTAATCGCTGCCCCGATTGTTCAGAACAGTTTGGCTTCAACGATTTTCATTCCTTTTATTTTTAATAAAAAATAAATAAAAAATGTTTATATTCCATAAAATTACTATAAATTGTATGAAAGCTACTTTAGAAATTTTGTAAAACGTACACAAAAAACTTTTGGATTATTAAAAGTTAATTAGAAAAAAGTTACTGCCTATAACTAAGTTTAATTATAAAACGTTAAAAAAATTCGTAAAAAATGTATTTATTAGAAAAGGTTTCAACTATTTGCAATCTGTAAAAAACTAATTTGTAAGCATACGAAAAAAGCAATTTTTAATCGTGGAAGGATTGAAGGATAATATTATTCTTTGATAACTTTCAAAGCTCACATACTTCGAACTAAACTTGTAGATCTTTTAGAAAAAACTTGTTAAAACAAAAATGCGAGAGTACAATTTTATTTATTCGGTATCAAGTAGTTTATCAAAGAAGTTTCGAATTTGACTCTTAAGAATTGCTCTTATTCGTAGATCCCCTATCGTGACTTGTATCACTATGCGCCCATCATGATGGAGTTTTATATATATATGCCTCCCTTGGAGCGAGGAAGCCCTCATGAATTACTAAAAAAGAGACGGTGGCGAAGTGTTTTAATTAACATGGAAATTTGAAGGCCTTAGCTAAAGTTAATCACAGTAAACTTTTATAATTGGTGCACATATATATCTAACGTGCTCCATCGATGTTAAAGTGTAAGTTCATAGTAGCTTGATTATAGTTTTCTTTTCTCCATCAAAGCTTTGAGTCTGCAAGACTAATAAACACTTTGAAAGTGCAGCGTTTATTTCTTCCATGTGACCTTCGCTACTACGTAGCCCACGGACGGATGCATGTCAGTTCAACGGGATGGCTTCGAAACACTGGGGTACTATGGAGGCATGTAGTGTTCTTATTTAATAAAAACTTTCATACTCTCTGCTGTGTTAATAAACAAAAGATGGAGGATTTCGAGGATAAGGATTTTGCTGTATCAGTTGCTTATGGGTTAAGCGTTTGTTGAAATTGGCCAGCACTGCTAAGAACGATGATTAGAGAGGAGACTTTGCAAAGGTCTCGCAGCGCGCGCATACAGAAAAGTTTGTGCCGGTCGAACTTGTATACTTTTGTAAGGGATTAATTAAGCCCAACTCTCGGGCATCCTTTTTCGGCGTTGCGGTATTCAACGATGCCCCCCTGCCAAATTCTCTCAAGTGTTTACTTATGTAAAAAAAGACGGTTTAAAGATGCTAATTATGCACTTTGTCAAATGAAGGGGTTGCTGTGTCCTTGAAATTGTAATTCTGGCAGGAAAACATGAGCGTCGACGACTTCGAACAAATGCTCGACTGCTGAGCAAGAGGCTGATTAACAATACGGCAGACAGACTGAGGGTACCATCTTCGTTTAACTTGTCAACAGTTATTAGCTAAATCTTGTAGCTTGTCTTATTTAAAGGACTCAAAAACAATAACAACTCCTAAGGGTACTCAATGACTCGCATACTCAAGGTCATGGGTTCGATTCTCACCGCCGCGAGTCTCTTTTTCGGAGTTAGGTAACTGCATCTTGAAATCTGTTATATTAGTCAAGTAATTGTGATTTATAACCTTTGATATACGCGTAACCGTATAATTAAAGCATTTTATTAACAGTAAAAAGCAAAACAACTCTTAAATTGAACTGCTTCGACATATGCTATTCGCACGTTAGCGTTAACATCTAATAATGTTCATAGCTTCCAACCTATGCTCCTTATGTCTTTCTTGGTTATTATAATCCCAGTATTTCTAATGGCTTCTTGTTAAATCGACTGGAAGAGAAGTGTAGATATTTCTTCCCTGTATATCACTTAAATCTGCCAGTAAACCTTACTAAACTATTCTAAAAGCTTATCAGTCCACTTATCACCCTCAGAATCCCGGATAATAGTAAGTTTGCTATTAATGACATGAAAAAGTACTTATCCTACTAACTTATATACTTAATTGATAGCTTTAATAGTTTACAACTGCGTTTGAATAATAAACTATCAGAAATGAAGTGAACAAAACACTAACAACGTTGGTAATTTTTAAGAAAGGTTAAGGATGTCACAACTTTCTCCATGAATTAAATTAAACCGAGTTATACTTTGCAAAACGCTCTCAACAGCACCTTCAAAGATTTCGACTATGGCGATATTGATAGGTAGTACGGAGCTGCAATTACTTATTATCTGTATTCTTGTGGGTAGGAAAATAAAACTTGCAAAATTAAGTGGTATAACCATCTATCTGAGGTAATTAACTCTCTTACTACTCAGCTACCTTTTCTATAGAAAATCTGAAAGCTTCTATGTGTATTTAAAGCTTTGTGTAATGTTTGTAAGCTACTTTTAAAAATTCAAAAATTTAAAATATCAAAACCTTATGAGGCGCCTAAATAAATAAAAAATCTTGTTTTCTATCACTCCGCGGTAAAAAGGAAAATACCGCATTCTACGCTCAGTCCTTATAGGTTGTTTAGCACATAATTTGGTATTTTCCGTCCTCTAAGGGTCGGAGTACAAATGCCCTGAAAACTGCTAAAACCATCACCAGAGGAGGTAAGCCCCAAGACCTGGAACTACCGGCTTGACCTCGTTGGCTATCATCTTTCAGCTTTAGTGCAGGGCTAGTCACTTTTAGGTCTTAGAGGCCTATGTATATATCTTACATCTAAGGCTGTTTTTAATGCCAGGTTTATTTTAATTTTGTTGTAGTTACTACTGCCTATTTCCTCATTCAGCTCTTCTTAGTTTACTTCTCTATAGTACCCTGCGTTTTTCATCTATAAATTGATTGTGACTAGTTTTCACTTAAGCCTTAGAGGCCTATAAACGTTTATAATGCTTTAGTAGGTCCCTCGCTTGAGTATTTCAATGACAATGGTGATACTAGACCGCTAATTCGTCCTTTTAAGGTTGAGAACTAAGTTATATTAATGCTAACTCTTTGTTATTTTTTATTGTTCCACACAGAACTCAAATTTTTCTAAATGGATTTTCACGTTAAATACTTCTTTTTTATAATAAGGGATAAAAAGGTCCATTTAGCTCTTCCGTCAATAAAGGAAAAAGGCATACATGTACGGTTTTTATGTATTTCCTTTAGTGTTAATATCTGTCAGGTGCAGTTCCCTGAGATTAAACTATAGCGCTCGCAAGCGAAATAAAAGTTGAAGTTTGCTCTTTTCGGTAGGGATAATTCTTAAACTTTTTACTTAGACGAATCTTAGCTTTGTAACTATAAATGCAAATAGTTTAAACTCCTAAACCAAGGGGAACTACAAATGTATGTATGCCTTCTACCATCCTTAAAGTTTATAAAGCGCCCCGAACATTCTAAACCCTAGTACATCAAGAATGTTCTCGAATAATAGGAAAAATGTTAATACAATAAATCTCAACCAAAATACTTCTTTTTAGTATATTTTGTCTTCTTCTCTCAGTCGCTTCGTAGTTGGAAACAATTAATTCAAGTTCCTTCATTCGAAAATACTTCGCGTGCATCTTCATAATTAGTTAAAACCCTTTTCAATAAAAGAACTACCTAGGATGGCGCCTTCTACGTAAGTCATGAAAACATTCACGGAGCAAACTTAATTCTTCAATAAGTTCCTTTTTTTCTTCTACTTTCCAATTATTTTATTTTCTCTTTTAAGCTCTTGGTTATAAGTTCTTTTCTCGACTGTGCACATAGTTTTTTATTGTGCAATAACTCCACCTATGTTCTCTAAGCTCTAATAGTTTCCTCTACGCTATTTATCCTCTTAGTTTTTGGAGTTTATGTGTGGGCTTACTATCTTCAAAGAACTCCGCAGGCTTAGGATTTTTACTCTAGACATATTTGACAACTTTTCAAATAAAAAAATTGATAGTTTATTTGGTTCCGCTTGTTTTGCTTTATTTATAGTGTTAATAGAATGTTAATTTCATAAACGAAATACGGGTAAAAAACAAAAGAGTACCAATAGGGAGGGAAATATATCCATTTATTTAGTTGTTTACTTACATACTATGCACACACGTGTAGAAGTATTCTGCTTTTAATACTTTTTTCTTCGCTCAACATGAAATTATAATGTAACTGCTTGTAAACGCTTTATTTAGTTTAGATCAAGGATAATTAAAATGTTTTTTATGCCCCCGCTTCCTTTGTCGTCGAGGCGTTGTTAAGTATGTACGATAGACGTAACTCTAAATTTTTACTGTAAGATATAAAAATGGCGTCACTAGGGAATTAAGGAAACAAAACGAAATGACTTTATTATATCTGCATAAGCTTGCACCAGAATAATGAAATTATTCTTTTGATAGGGAGTAGCTCCTGTTACCAGCAAAATCGCAAGGTTCTTTAAGATAGTAATTACCCATAATTAATTTCTTTCCCAGCAAGAGTGGAGTTAAGACACAATTTAAAAATCAAAGTTGTGCACAAAGAAAAAAACTTAGAAAAGATTTTAGCAAGACGCCCTATTACGGAGGAGACCGCGGTGTCTGACCCTTATTTTTAGGAAGTAAAGCCTTATTAAATAATTGAATATCTGTTCGAGTGCTAACAAATGCAATATTGTTGTTTCTACAATAGTTACCGGTTAAACAATGTCTCTTAGTTCTACTCTATTGGAGTTAATTTTCATATGCCCTTATATCGCTCGGTCTGGGCATAAGATTGGTTGTTATTACATACCCTTTTTTAAGCTTCAACTGCGTTGAATGCAAAGCTAGAGAAAGGTTTAACTTGCCGGGACCAAACATTTTCAAAGGATGGTTTCTGTCATAATACTAATAAAAGTTGTTTTGTTTTTCTCTGTATTTAGGCTGTCAAAGTTGCGAAAAGCAAAATATTAAAAACATCTACAATAACCGTACTTAAAATTTTTTTACTTAGAACCTATGTATGAGGCGTTAAAACGGTTAGTTTAATTGAAGTAAAAGTTATAAGAAATTTTAACGGTTTTATTATCCTTTAAATTAATATCTGGCCTAAAAAAATGACAATGTACTTATAAACTTGCATTGACAATAAGACTCTTACATCTAAAAGTACGTCTAAAGCTCACAAACACCTATATATTATAATAAAAAAAATAAATGTGGTATCATATTACGCGTTTTTATCTTTTTACAATTTTGTTATAAGGCGTGGAAAATCCAGAGCACTGCACCAGCTGAAAACATTATGACTGAGCTCGTCCCATTTTAGTTTCACGAGATTTTTTCTTTGTAGATAAAGTTAATTTTGATGCTCAAATTGGACATTGATTCGTTCCTTGTAATTTGTGTGTAATTGGTTTGAAAAAAAGTGTTTTAGCTTGCTAGGGTTTAAGCTTTCAGACAGCCAATTGCTAGACTAATTAAGGTTATGGTTTTCTGGAATTCGTACTGCCAATAACGTCCCAATTTTTAAAGAAGACTTTATCACTAAATGCTAATAGGAACCGGTAACCCTGCACAAAATTTACCTTAAATACAGAAGTAATCATAGAATTATTAATTCTAATATGATAGTCGTTTAATATCTTCCTGCTTAATCTACGCCTTTCACCTACATTAAATAATATGTACAAAATTTTAAAAATTTAAATAGAAATTATTAAAAAAAACTTTTGTTCTAGTGACTTTAGCTTTAAGGATAACATTATATCACCACATTACTTGCATTTACTACATTTATCAATAAAACTACTGGTCCTTAACGAGCAAGTCAGAAATAAGTATCAGGAGATTAATCTCATCTCCGGGCTGGTGTAAAACTTTTTCTGTCTTAAAGAAGTGCATTGTGTTCAGATTATACCGGCTGTATAATGCGGTTGATAGGAGTTTTTACTCTAACTATTATATATAATAGCTTTAGGGTTACCACTTCTTCTGCAAGCTTTAATGTTATTAACGAAGCGCTTCCCAAGTTTAATTATTCCTATTCTTTTGATAATGGGGAAGGTTAATGTCTTTTAGCTTTTTTTGCTGGTTATAAATCTTTCAGTTTTATTTTTTGTAGATGTAATTCATGACTCGTTCCCTAGGAAAAACAGACTTAGTTACATAGGACTGTCTATGTGGAATTCTAGAGGGATTTCTTTGGAAAGGGCAATACAAGCTATGCTCGGGGATGACAATGCTTTTTACGAGTCGCCCTTATTTACCAAGTTAAAGCATCTTTGCATGGGTAAGATTAATTTCGCTATAATTTTTATATAAATGATGCAATTTTTTAAAAAAAGGATCAATAAATCAGATAAAGGAAGTTATTTACTCCACTTCTGGACATTGGACTAAAGATGGCTTAGACAAGTTCTTTAGGCAATTTGAAACAGAGTTAAAAACCTCCAAATTTATTAGTCTTCAGAAAGAGTGTGTTAACTACTGCTTCTGCATTTCAGACACTGTTGAAAGTCAACAAGCCTGTGTTCAAAGAAAAAATTTCCTCACTTGCGCCTTAACTTTTGCTAAACATAAAATTGATAATTTGGTGTCCTTACACTTAAAAAAACATACCCAGTCTCCTGACGCTTTACTTACCTACTTGAAGAATTGGAGTGATGACGTGGAGTTAAATAGTACCATATATTCCACTATTGTTGACTCTTTGGCGATATATAGATATGGGCCAAATACTCTAACCTTGTCGTCCGAGGTTTAGCTCTTACCTTTACTTGATACCTTAAAGGATTATTTTTCAAAAAGGCGTTAGATCGAGCAGTAGATCTAAATATTCTTAAGGCGTACTCCAGCATACTCAAGAGAAAGCAAGGTGATTTTCAAAACATCTCTGAAGAAGTTATAGAGTTTCTTTCCAAAACTCATAATTGTAGTTATAGTGACCATGGAGAATTTATAACACCAGGTAGGCGATACTAAAACAGTTAAATCTTATATAAGATTGAGTTTATAGCCGTTTTTTCTAGGGTATATCTTGCCTGAACACATTATTAGTTACCAAATTCGAAGAAAAACAGCCCAACCTACTGCAGGAGACTATGGAAATTTGGAGTACAGCTTCGTTAAATTTAGTAATGAAGCGTTTAACAATTCCTTCATTCTTGTGTTTTCTGGTATTATATCGTCTTTAAGTCTGGGAAGGCCCATAACTTTATTTATTTGAGGGCTGGGCGATGAAAGTACAAGGATTTATAAGTTGACCGAACAGAACGAAAGCCAGTTTTATGGCCTTTTTCCCGCTGAGCAAGGTAATTGCAATAGAATCCAGAATCACTTGAAGGCTGCAATAGGAAAAAATAGTGGATGGGTAACACTTGCAAGTAGCGCAGTGGTGTTAACTGCTTTTTTGTTGGTTGGATTTTTGGTTTACAACATTTCACTAGCGAACTGTAAAAGTTCAAGAAAAGTTTTTTTAGGTGAACAAACTTCGCTGCTGCTTTATTTTTACACCACGTCTAGGTGTTCGTGGATGCTCTTCTACTTATAAAACTTTCTCTCCGCCAAAAACGATTGTGGACCACCGAAGTCTTCCTATAGTTGCTTTAATATTCCCGAACTACAAGGATGTTAGAATCGAGAAGTACACCATCTTTTCTTCACTTTTTAAACCATTTTGATTGCGGTCGTACCAGACGTGATTACTACTTGCAACTTCTCCGGAATCTCACTCGTAACCAGCCCAAGTTAATATGTGCGCAATTTTAAGTGGAACTTATGTTATTTGCTATAAAGCATTAATTTATCACTAGCTGAGTTCCATGATTTCGATAAACTTAAGTCTTATGGAATGATTTCTTCCGACGACGGAAGTTTTTATACAGAAATCTTAACGTTGAAAGATTTAAGTAACCCAGAAGGGCTTTTCATTTCTTACGCCACCGCCGCGGAAAGGGCTTACGTCTCTTCTATTAAACCACAAAAGTGGGCGCTCACTGGGTAGTTTCAGTGGGTTGTTTGGTTGGTTTACTCCTCCTTCCATACTTTTAAAGAGCAGCGTGGGCTCTTCTCATGGGCCTTCAGTTGGTTACAGTTTTAGGGGACTACTGCACTCGTAGAGGTCAGCCTACCTGTCTATACGCCCGTATTAAAGCTTCACAGCATGTATAAAGGTCTTTCTCATGACCAAACGGAAGTGCTTAACGGGGCCAGTGTGGTGACCACGGCCAACGCGCTCGTGTCCCTCATTACTACCGTCTTTCCTTTTGCCGTCTTCCAGTTTATAGCGCCTGTTTTCACGGCGTTGATGCCAACCACATGCTACTATGAGGCGGATATCCTCGGTCAAGTTGCTTATTGCATGTGGCCCTCTCATAAGTGTAATATGAATGTCTTTTGCTTTTGCTGGTTTCGTCAGCTGTTCTATTAATGTCCAGGCACGGAAATCAAATGCCCGTCGCAGGGCCCACTTTTTATGGGCTGGCAGATCTTTTTACACCCAATAATAATTCCGTATATGATTGGTCTGTCGGCGCTCTACTTCTTGTGTGACAGCGTGCTTGCCGGCAAGGAGAACTATGTTTATTTGAAAGCCGTATCGGCTGTTGTTATTTCTATAGTGCTCAATGCTCTTAGTAGAGGGGTATGTTTCTGACCTTAAGGGTTTTCCTTTTAACTTTAGGTCTTTTACGTATTTACAGAAAGGGTCGAGTGGGCAAACACATGTGGTGCCGTATCTTTCGGCTGGGTTATGCCTTATGGGGTGTGTGCTCCTTCTTTGGAAGAAAAACATCACCGCCTTCTTGTCTAAGAGTGCGCCGATGCACTCACCGGCTTCCCAAAAGGAGACTATTTTATATTTAATTTTGCTCATAATGGTCACCTACGTCTGGGTTGCCCTACAGAATTATTCAGCCATCTATTGGAGGTTACTTTTCACGAATAGCAAGTATTATTTGTATTATTAACAACAATGAAGAATGAATATGTTTGCATTTCTATCGATTGAAAATACCATGGCCCTGCCCAGCGTTTTCTCATTTTATCTATGCTACAAAAAGTTAGGTGAGTACATATTTATTTTTATAATTAGTATATAACAAAATTCTTAAAAAGTTCGTAGGATCTTTGTATATATTAAAGAAACATGGCCCAAGTTTTGGAAGCCTTTTAATAATGAAGTAATGTATAACAAACTGGCAGGTAGTGAGCTTAATAAATTGCAGGGCAAAAAGATTAGCGAAACGTGCCCTTTAAATGAAGATGGCATCTCCGCAGGAGGAATAGATATTGCGCACCGCCAAAAAATTGTTTCAGAAGATGGCTATTCCTATGAAGCGACTGATATTATGAAAGGAATAGGGTCGGGTGCGTTTGAAGTGCTTGTTTCCTCTATTAAGCTCAGCTTTTTTAATGGTTATGCAAGCCTCTGGTTGTTGCTTGGCAAACTTTTGGCTAACTTGCGTGCGCTGGCATTTTTCTATATGATAGTTAATTTTGAAATGGGGAAAGTTCTTTTATTGGCTACGGCCTTACGCCTACTGGTCAGCAAGTTGATTTTTATGGTCAGCAGCCTAAAGGCCTCATTTAAACACGATTATTTACAAAAAAAAATTTCTCTGGCGGTGGAAGTCACTTCTTTTATTTTATTGACAATTTCTATTTTAATGATCTATGTTACTAGTTAACTTGAAACCTGACAGTTTTTCCTTATTTAATAAAGGACTTTGTATTCATACCATAGTTTGAAATAGCAATTTGAATTATATATGTCTTATGGGTTAAGTTAGTAATGTATAATTTTGAGAGTTTCTCATGTTTATCGACTAGGGTCATTTTACAGCTTGTAAACAACTTCAGGTTTAGTCTACAAGTGGCGGCGAGATATTAAGTTTTTGATAAGTGGGTTTACGTAGGATTCGTTACAGACTTTAATTAAAGTTTATGGCAACATCGATAATAAATTAACACAAAACAATAAAAAAAAGAAGAAAGTAAAGAAAGTTGCTCAATTTAAAAACTTAACAACAAGGAATACTATTCGTCAAGAATCGTAATTGTATTTGTTAGATAATAAATCCCATAGAGCAATTAATTTTACCATCTAACTTTATAGTGATGATTAATCTTTGTTCTAAATTAAGCGCAATACTAATATGCATATCCTCAAACCCCTCATTAGGATTTAGTTTACTGTTTGCCACTTCTCCCAGCTCACGGGCTGTTATTATTGTGGGAACGTTTAGTTTATAATATTTTAACAATATTTAAATACGTTTCATATTGCAGTTAATATAATAGACAAGGAAACTGATGGGCCAAGAACTGATAGCATATTAGAAGTAATAAACTTTATCATGAAATATACGCAAACCACCTACCGATACACTAAACTACAGAAACTATACTTAAAAGATTAATTAAAAACATGAACTAATATTTCAAAAGAAAAACGGTTTTAAACATTTTGGCAAGGCCTATGTAAACCCAATATTTATTATATACAAATATGGTAATTACCGATTCGCACAACTTTAAACGGATCCGAATTAAATATGGTTTATTCAAATAATCATAAATCTAATCTAAACAAATATACATAAATGGTAATGCTCCTTTAACCTTTTATGAAGTATATGTTGCCCATAAGAAAAAAACTCCAGGTTTCCTTTTCTTTCAGTTGACGATGTCAATAAACTTCACTTAGTCCGTAGCTCTGGCGGTGGTTATGTATTTGTGCTCAGTTTGTGGGCTTCAGCCTTGAAAATTAAGTTGGTTTTTTTAATAAAATATATGTAAAGAATGAATAAACAGAATACAAGCCCCATGCCTCGAGTGCGAAGTAGTCAAGTCTGCACCTGACACGAAAGAGAAAGTAAGTTTAAATGAAAATTTGGGGCTTCTTAATATTAACGACATTCTGGAGACATTAAATTTTTGTTATAACTGCACGCATTATAATTGGTGCAATTCATCTGTTTAATGTAATAGATTCGAAAAAAACATTAGGTTAAGCAGCAAGTTAGACCACGATAATTTATACCTAGGTTATTGCTTAAGAGCGTTTTAAATAATGTACTGAATAAGTTTTGATCCTTAATAATTGATAGGTTTTTACCCTCTTTCGGGTATTGTCAACCGAATTTTAATACAAATTATATAGCCTAAACCGACTCCCCATAAGTTAAATGTAAGCCTCATTGTAAACCTCAATGATAATTTGGCACGACATGCGGCAAGAGCTTAAATTCACTTTAATTTGTATAAGTTTGCAAGGCGTCGCTCAGCCGGAAAGTTACAGGATTCTCTAGCCCCTATTGTTTGCAGGCCTTTCAATGATAGAGGATAACTCAAAATTGGAAAGTGTTTTAATGTCGAAATAAGGTGGCAATTTCCTTTTGCCTCTCTTATGGCAGTAAGTTTTAATAACTTTAGTACTATTTTGTTACGTTTAAAATAAAAATTGAGAAAGCTGGAGGTGTTTCTAGCCACTTAAAGTTTGTAATTATGTCTGAAGCTAAACGCTATAAAGAAGTTTCTCACACCTTTCGTATCCTGTAATTAACTACATTTAATAAAATCTTTCTTTTTTTTTTTTTTTTGCAGCTATTCTTTTGTAAAAACATCCGGCGCTCTAAGGTACCAAAAATATTTTTTGAAATTTTTGTGACCAATTTTTTTCCTGAAATACTCACCTCTTTGATTGAAGATTCGTAATACATGTGTTACCGCCTTCTAAGCACGCACAAATTTTGGCAAAGCCTGTAAAATTTTATAATATTTAAATTATAAGGCTATACACCCAGGATTAATTTTTGATTTAACTTAAGTTTCTAATAAATATAAGTTAGAGGAGTGTATTGATTTATTGTACTACGACTCCAGAAAAGAAGATTTTGAAGCTGATGACCTCTTCCAGTTACAAAGGCCTGCGCAAGAGCAACCGCGTGGGGCCTTACTGATACCGCTGTCAGCACTTTAGGCGCGCGCAGTTCTTCCTCTACTCCTGCTTTCTCACGTTGCTTTAAGTAAGGTGAGAGGCTATCTTACGAAACTCTATAAGTTCAGGACCTATTTACCACGTGTGAATGCTTAGAACACCCTTAAACTGCCCCTACCAACCCATCAAACTCCACTTCTAACTTGAATTCGAAGAGAGCTTAAGTCCTAATTTTGGCCAAAAAGATTTGAAAAGATTTGTAACAGTAGCAGCAAGCAATACTCGTCTAAAGGGTCCAGCAGCTGAAGGCCCCGGTGAAGAGCTTCTTTCGCACAAACCATGGCGAGCCAATTTTAATTTTTTCTGGCGCACTTGAACTGCCGGCTCTATAGCAGGGGTGTATAGGCCCCTGGCAGCAGAAGCGTATGTCATTATTGACTATATCGAAGTCCTACACAATTGCCGTTTGTTTCGCGGAGAAGACTTGCTCTTGCCATGTAGCAAAGGGGTAGAGCGCCTTCGCTGCGGTCTTGACCTTTGCCACTACTTAGTCCAAGCGTGCGGCTAACAGGAAAATTTCTTGTCATATGCTTGAGAACACTACGGAATTTTCCCGCCATCAAAGGTTAAGAACGCCCTCCAAGGGGACGCGTTTCTTAGTAATTAAAAGCGCTTTGCTCTTCATCGCACTTATAGAAACTTTCCAATTACGGCCCAGTCAACGAAGGCGTTAGAATAGAGCTGTAGGTGCTTGCATAGCAAGGTGAGAGACTTCGACGATGAGTAAACGGCCGTTTAATCGACGTAGAAAGCGATGCGTGTGTGGATTTGATGGTTAAGTGCACGCGTTGCTCATCATAAAATGCAAACTAAAGGGGCGAAAGAGGGGACCCCGGAGGCTACTGTCCAAGAACACAGAGGCGACTGTGCATATCCCAGGAGCGCACGCTGGCGACGAGGCCATTTAAATATAGGGCTTCAGAAAGTTGTAAGGGTCATGGGAGACGGATAACCTGCGCAGTTTGTGCAGCAGACCTTCAAGCCAAACATGATCAAATGCCTTTTTAACGTCCACGAACACAGCGCCTGTTATCTAATGGTTAAGATAGCTTGTAGTCCATTCAGTAAAGCGAAGGAGCTGCTAGGTCGTTGAGTTACCTTGCCGAAACCCAAACTGAAACTCCGGCAAGGCGCCCCTGGCGTCAACGACCTCTTTAAGACGGCGCAGTAAAACGGTCTCACCCACTTTGCCGGTCGCTGACAGGAGGCCCATGGGTCGGTACTTGCTAGACGCTGATTCCGGTTTAAGTGTCTTTGGCAGCAACACCCACGGTCGCCGTTTTCCATAGGAGTCGGAAAGACGCCAAGGAACCATCGCAGCTTTTACTAGGAGGTACAGATAATACATCCCTGTTAACGGCAATTTCTTTAACGTCTCATTAATGACGCCATCAAGGCCAGGCGCTTTTCGTTGGGGTAGCGCTTCGACAATCGCTTAAACCTCGCCAACATTAATTAGCTCAGGTGGACCGTCGTTAGTGAAGAGGGGTAAGCTCAGCTGAGGGGACGCAGCGTCATTAGCGGTAAAGTGAGCAGCTGGCACGTTTTAGATAGCAAGAATTCTGGCGAAAAGCATAATTTTGTCTCCGTCACTCTCGGCCGCCACCATACTTCCTCCACGAAGGGGTGGTAGTGGTGCCACGACCCCGATTTTTGATCTTTTTAACAAATTTCCAAAAGGAGGAGGGGCGGCTGCTGTTACCTGATTAGGGTGTACGATGCAGTTTGCTCTTCCCTTCATTGTTAAAGTGGGCCAGTAGCTTATTTCTTATGCGCCAGTGCAGTCGATTAAGCAAAGATTTGTCTTTGGCGTTCTGCGAAAACATGGACACTCGGCTAAGAGGTCGACGTGGCTAAGAGGTCGATGTTGGCAGCTAAGTGTAGTTAGTACGTCAGGCTGGCGATCGGGGCGGTACGTCTTTCACTAGTGGTTCGTGGCAGTAGTGTGAGCTATGTTCAGTGCGATTTGGGAAAGGGTAACAGGATCAACTAGCAGGGCGGGCGTAGGCGGTAATCATGGACACGGAGGCAGCGTGGTTTCTAATAACTCAGCATATTTGCCCCAGTCGGTAAAAGTACGGGTGATAGTCTATGTCCTTCCCCTCCCCTAAGTCGAGAATAACTAGGAGGTGATCGGAGTACAGATCGTGGAGTGCTTCAATTGCCGTTGGGAGACGTATTTTTAGTATGGCAATGTCCAGTACGTCCATTGTGTCTGTAGTGGCCAAGTGTGTTGGTTGCTGGGGGTCTAGCACGCCCAGTCCGCGCTCATCAGCACAGGCCTTAAAGCCCTCTTTATTACTATTAATCTTTCTATAAAAACAAAAAATACCAATGTAAAATTTCAAGTTTAACCAATCCCTAAGTCATTCTTATGATTGTTTTAATTATCTCGTATGAGTAAGTTCTAAACATTAAAAGAATAATTGGTTAAAATAATGTAATTATTAAATTTTACTATGATGCAATTATTTGTTCAGTAATTGGAATAGTTTACCTTTAATATATACATGTACAATCCTTTTTATCATGGTTGGCCTAAAAAAACAATAACTGAGACTTCAAAGTTTAATTTTGTTCTTCTTGAGTAATTTTCATCATCACTTTTTGTTTTTTTTTTCATCACTTTTTGTTATGCCATCCACTCGTTCTGTGACGTACTACTCTTATGCACAGCGTAGGGTAAAGCATTTTCAGCGGCCGCCAAATAACCATGTGCTACCGCCAGGACAGCTTATTTTAAGGATCCCCTTAAAAACTATCTATTTTTTTCTATATTAAAGCTGAAGCTATTTATTGTTTCCCAAAAGTTAAAATAAAGTTAGCGCAGTTAACAAATATTTTATCTACTTTTAACTTAAAAACGTTATTTTTAAGCTAATTATAAATATGGAAGTTGACAAAGTTGTTGCAATTACTGCAGACTATTTTTGCATAGGAATTTAAGCCTAATGTAATAATTGAAATATTAATTTTAATATAAAGTTACAGTACTTACAGCTGTATTATAGTCAACTCAGCGTCATAACATCTTTAAGAGAAACAGTTTAGTTTATAAAATTTGAAAACAGAAGATTTCAGACCAACCGCTTTTTATTACAGAGCAGTTTATTAGAATTTATGAGCGAGCTCTAGAGCCCGGTTTGATGGTTTACGTATTTAACCTGATACAGTTTACCGAGTATTGGATGTATTACAATTTAAATACTTTGATTAAGAAACTTTAATAAAGGTTCATTAATTTTAATATCTTTTTGTTAAAAACTTATATGCATATTTCAATAAAAATAATTTTATATATGTTTCAAGAGCTTCAATTCTTTCAATTAGTAGATAGGGGCAGCCGGAATTTTGAACGTTTAAGTTATGAAAAAGACTTTGTGTCAAAAGCACTTACTTCTTCCTAAATACTTTTTTTTTTTGACGACGTATTGAATAATCCAAGAAAATAAAACGCATGAAAGTTGCAGGCAGCCAAAGTAAGGTAGATCGTGGAAAGCAGCCAAAAATTACACTGCGCAACTTTTAATATTTTATTTTTGTAAAAAAAAGGAATTATAGTAATTGTTCTTATAAATTTTTTTTAGCACACACTACTTTTTAAAGGATTCTATTGCTAGTTAAAAAAACATCTAAGTTGCAAGGCAGATCACCCTCTGATAGCAAATATTATTTAACTATTTTATTATTATAAATTCTATAGACAAACCTAACAAAATAAGTTATAATAGTAAAATAAGTTAATAAGAATATGAAGAACACATTTTTATTTAAATGTACACTTTCATATAACTAAAAACGTTTAACCATATATAAAACTTATAGAGCAAAAAGTGTGCGAGAATATAGATCTTAGTATTTTCTATTGCAATCTTATAATCACCTAAAATAGCTCTAATAATTTAGTAATAAGGCTAGACTTTTTTAATATAACCTGTTTTGTTTTACTCCAAAAAAGCTAAGCATAAGGGTTTTTCATATAATTATTAAGTTCGAATTTTTTTTACTAAATTAATTTATTTATTAGGCGAGGCACACTGACTTTTAATTAATGAAAATAAGTTTAAAAAATAAAAGGTGTTTTTCTGAAAATTAAAATTAGACATTTTTAAAATATTAAGGCGCTATATATATTTAGCATTTACAAACGTTCTATAGCGCCTATCGTACTAATAATAAAGCCAAAGAAAAAGTATAAACTGTAGACTTAAATTATAAATTTCTTGTTATTCAAAGTTATTTTTAATTTTTAATTTTCAAGCTATTAATTTAAGCGAAGCAAACTAAATCTTTATCAACTGGAAAATAAATAATTAAGTGTTTAAATTAAAATCTATAAAACTTTAAAATATTTTAAATTCAATAAGGCAGTTTTTTATAAGTAGTTAAACTCGTTTTATAACGATTAATAAACTAGTAATGGAAAAAATCATAAAAATAGAATTGTTGGTTTCTATATATAATGTGCTTCGCTTTCATATAATTATTACTAATAAATCTTTTTCCTCTGTAACTGCTTAAATGAGGTACACAAAATTTTTACTAACGAAATAAATTAAAAATTAAAGATGTTTATTATCAGCAATTTAAAAAATTTTAATATAATTTTTAATCCATTAAAGTGCTAAATGCAGCGGTCATTTCTTCGGCTTGAGCTGCTATAGAAGTCATAATCTAAAATAAATATAATATTTATAACTTTATAATTTTATAAATTTAGTAGTACTATGTACAGACCATCTATTATATACTTTTTATTTATAAAAAATAATTTTTTTTCGCTATTTTTTCATATTTATATTATGTACTGACTTTTCTATTTTTTTTTATGACTATACTTTTTTATTCACTTATTTATAAACTTTTATTATTTTTATTGTTTTCTTTTATTTTTTATATCAATTAAAATAATAATAGAAACATTTTCTTTGCCACTTTGAGGATTCAAAAATTTTAAAGCTGAAAGCGCGTTGATGTGCTCGGCCAGCTGCTCGGCAATAGTAGACCACGTGAATCTGCGCTCGTCTCTACAAGCATAAAAAAAAAAATGTTTTAGGCTATTATTCAGTACTAATTTCATTATAAATTTATAATTATAAAAATTTCTTTAAATAATAAACTATTAAAAAAAATAAATGAAGCATCCAGTAATAAAATTTAAATAAAAAAGTTTCCGATTACGTTTATTAACAGTAAAAATATTAATTTCTTATTTTTTAAATAAAGTAGTACTCAATATAATAAATATATGATATAATATAGTAAAACTTTATTTAAATTAATTGAAAATTTTTAGTGACCAACAAACCGAAGGCTATAAAGCATACAACAATAAGCTTTCCTACTAGTTAATTTCAGACATTTGTCCGCAGTTATTGGTTGTTTTTAAATAAAAAAGTTTATATATACTTTATTTGTTTATATACAAGATTATTTTTTGTTAATAATTAATATATTTTGATAAAACTTTTTATATAAATACTTATATTATCAAGAACAACTTTTTACAATTTTTTCTTAAAACTTTTTTAATTATTAATAAAGAAAAGTATAACAAAAGAATGCTACTTATCCCAGGTGACGGCTCGCTTAGCGAGTTCATAAAATAAGCAGAAATTCTTCATCATGCCGACCGTTTTATAAAATGGGCAGCATTTATCACTTTCAGAGTACCCATTTTGTCTTAAAAAGTCCTCTTTTATAAGAGCTGCAGTTTCTAGCGTCACTCGATCGCTTTCTCCTAGCGACCCCTGAAAAGCGTACGAATAGTACCATCTGGTGACTTTTAAACATCAAAAAGGTACAATGGCTAAGAAATAAACAAAATTGGATATTTTTATACTATTAAATAAAAGAATTGGTCTTAAACGGAACCCGATTAACACGTAAAAATGGCGCTATTAGTAGAGTTGTACCGGCCCGACTATTTGGACAATTTCGGAAAGCTCCTCTTCTTTTTGTAAAATATCTTTTATTATTTTTCTATAACGAAGAAAATCCGGATAATTTTTATCATAATAATCTAAACAATTTATATATTAATAATAGTATTAATAATGATGATAACAATAATTATATTAATAGTATTAAGATACTTTCTAGCGGTTCCACGTAACTGCTGTAGCTTAGCGACCAATTGACTGATGGAAAATGTTTCCTCTGCGCCAACTACCCGCAAGTTTATCGTAAAATTAATAATAAAAATTGGGAATACCAAAACTATTAAAAGAAAGCGGTATATTTTGTATATAAAAAATAAAATTTTTTGAGAGTTAGTTGCTTTATAAACCTAAAAGGTAATAAAACTACCAAATTACCGTTTTGTCGAGGCCCCAAAACACTTGTACGATGCTCAAGGTGGCTGACGTCACCGGATCCGAAAAGTCGCCTCCCTTTTTTATAATAATAATTATATTAAACGATAATAATAATTATTAATGTATAAAAGTTTTTTTATAAAAATATATAATAAAAATTGTTTGTAAAAGTAAATATTCATAATAAAAATAAAAAAAAAGTATAATAAATTTTGGTAAGTGGCCTCGAAAGAAACGCTCAGTTTCAATATTAAAATGTTACTCATGTTTTTTTTCCACAGTGGTAGGCGAGTTCCGAACTGCTTCACTATCACGCACGTTTTTGTGAGAACTTACCCTAAAAAGAAAAGTTTTATTGGATGGCGATGTACCAACACCGCTGGCTGGTCTCCATGTTCATAAGTGTATTATTATTATTATCTGGAAGTTCGTAGGAGTTTATTATGCGTATATCTCTTAACTCACAGAAAAGTCGTTTTTTTTATTGTTTTGACAGCTGGTAGCCCTTTAGAATTTTTTCTAAGTAAAGCTTGTCCTGGTTTATAATATTTCTTATATAAAGTTTATTATAAATATATATATTTCTTATTTTTTTCTTATAAAAGTTGGTTTACTTATTAATCTTCGTATTAAATAAAATCTCCTTAACAATTATTTTTAGTACTCCTTGTATTGATTTTTATTTTTATTTTGAATAAATACTTTTCATAAAAAGTTATCATGTGCGCCAGCATACAGTTAAATTTTTGCTGTAGAAAATGCTCCACCTTTTATCCAGCTTTAAGATATTTTAGTAATTCTGCTATACCACGGGCGAGTTAGTAAATTGTAAAATATAACTGCTCTTCCCGAGAGACAAAAAAGTCTAAAAACCATAAAGTGCACGTGGTATGCCGAGCGCGTGTTAGTGTATCACGTGGTTATTTACATTCTGGCATTCTATCCCTTTTTTATAAGTAAAACTACTACTTTTACAGAACCAGTCGCCCTAAACAGGTGGTTTCAGTCTATACATGTCACGTCATCTGGTGTTAAACAACGCACTAAACCATTAATTGAAAAGTTTATTTATAATATTTATAAACTTATATAAAACATGTTATATTCACTAAAAAGTTAGTAAATGGTCCAACTTTATACTATAATATAAATCATTAATATAAAAAAGAAACTAATAAAATTAATTAAAAAAATTATTTTTTATAAAAGGACGCTTACTGGAGGAGAAACCGCCCCAACAATAGTAACAGATCCGTTTCGCTTAGGACTGCCAATACACGTGACTTTTCCGGCTCTAGAATAAAAATTCGCCAATCGAGAGCCAAGATAAGCTGGATAGCCACTAAAAATAATAGTTCAATAATGATATTTGGGTTATTATGATATTAATAAAAATAAATTGACCTATCTGCGGGCATTTCGGCTAAACGACCAGAAATTTCGCGAAGAGCCTCCGCCCAGCGTGAAGTCGAGTCTGCTAGCATAGTCACGTGTAATCCTAAGTCATATGGAAGGTCTGCTGTGTGCAGCAAATGTAATGAATACAGTTGAACCTTGATCACGAAAGTATTCAGCAAGTGTTATTCCAGTATATATAGAGGCCTCGCGTGCAGCCACAGGCATGTTGGAAGTGTTGGCTATAAGTGTTGTTCTATATAATAGTATTATTAAAATTAATAATAATATTAATTATTAAAATGATAAATATAATAATATTATTAGTAGTAGTAGTAGTAATAATAAAAATAGTAAATAATACCTATTCATAATACTAACTTCCTTGCCGTCAAATTCCACTGATAACTTTATTTAATAATAATAATGAGAATAATAATAATAATAATAATAATAATAATAATAATAATAATAATAATAATAATAATAATAATAATAATAATAATAATAATAATAATAAAAATAATAAAAACCGCTGGAAAGTCCTTAAGAACTTCAGCCATTTCGTTTCCACGCTCGCCGCAACCGACATACACAATAACTTCAGAATTGGAATATTTGGAAAGCGATTGGGATATGACGGTTTTTCCGCAGCCAAACGCACCAGGAATTGCAGTGGTGCCGCCTTGAGCGCAGCTAAAAAAAAATGATTGAGGTAAGAAAGGTTTAAGGTAATAAATATTTTATATATGAAAAAATTAAACATGATATATGTTTAGTAGAAATAGTAAGTAATAATATATTAATAAAGTTTATTAGAAAAATTGTATAATAATCATTAAAGAAATAGTCTGCAATTAAAAGATTTGAGGAAAAACAATCATATAATAATGAAAGTTTGCTATATATTTAAAGAAATAAGAAGTTCATTAAAAGTTTAAGCATGTAAAATTAATAAAAGAAAAAAGTAATGCACGTAATATAGAAAGTAAAGAAAAAGTATAAAAATGAATAGAAATATAAAAATATTATAAAATAATAAATAAAAAAATTAAAAATATAATATTAAATAATTATAAAAACATTACATGAACTAAATTAAAAAAGTCAAATATAACATTAAATATAAAAATATAATTAGAAATAAAATATAAAAAAGTTAAAAAAAAAAACAAGTTTAAATATAATTTAAAATTTTAAATAGAAAAAGTAAAAATATATTTATGATAAAAACAAAAAAAAGCAAGAAGTCTCGTCGGCCTGCACGTGCACCGCTTTTTTAAGAAGGCTTATAAAAAGGTTCCGATTAAACAACCTAACTCGTTATTTGGTGCAAACATGTTTTTTTGCTACAACATAAAGAAGATAAGCATCCGATTGGCTAGTGGACAATAAATTAAAAGTATATAATAAAATATATAAAACTTGAAAACAAAGTATTTATTTTCTTTAAAAATAATATAATATTATTTAATATAAAAACAGAAGATATAATATATTTTTATTTTGCTTAATAAATTTATCTAAAAAAAATATGAGTAAAACCTAGGGTAGCGCTTAGCAATAATAATAATAGTAATAATAATAATAATAGTACGGAAATAAAGCGTCCAAGACGCGCTGGCCAGTGAAAAGCGGAAAATCTGAGCTGAGCTTCTCTAAAACGGGTCTAGGGACACGTGCAGGCCACACGTGATAGAGCTATTAGCAGAAAATAAAAATGAAAAGTTCACAACCCAAACCTAACAAAGTTTACTAACTTTTTTTAATGAAATAGCAAAAAAAAATATGAATAAAAAAATTATTATAGTTTATTACTATTATTAAAAAATAATAATGTAAGATATACGATTCGGAATTTTTAATATCCTTTACTTATAAAGTTTATTAACTTTTTTTTTAAAATAGCAAGAAAATATAAAGTTTCATGCATAATAAAACTATTACACTTAAAAATAACATTATTATTATTTAATAAAAAACGGTTTATTATGTAAAATATATTATATTGATTATAAAAATTTATAAGTAGAAATACATTTGTAAAGATTCAACAAAATAATTTATTTTCTGACTTTATCAGAAGTAAGCTACCAAAAACCTTAGTATAATCTACCAAATAAAATGCACAAGAATATAAATTAAATAAGACCAAAACCTAATGGAAAAGCCTACCAAGGAAAAGTAAAACTTACCAAAACGATATTAAATCCTAGTTTAAAAAAATTGGTACCCTATTACTATTTCAGCATATCAATATTAGTTCAGTCTAACCAGAAAAAGATACACATATTAACTAAATGGAGGATTATAATAAAATAAACTTAGAACAACGATAAATAATTTATGCTGATAAAAAAGGCCCAAATAATATTTTAATGCACAAAATTAAGTAAATCTACTAGAAAAGATACAAGTATTAATAATTTGAAAGGCTTACAAAAGGCCTAGTTTAGTATAATCTGGATAAGCATAATTCAAATTATTCATAAAAGGAAATTTAAAACAGAAATAATTTTTTTTTCTATTATAATTGGTATCCGATTACTATTATAGCGTAGCAAAATTACATAAGTCTGCCAGAATAAGTTACAAGATTAGTAATTTGGAAGATTATAAAATCTAGCGGAGGAAAAGCTAATATTTTTTTCCATAAAAATAAGTGCCTAATTACATTTTAACATAGCAAAATTACAAAAGGCTTCCAGACTAAGATAAAAGCGTGAACCAATATAAAAAGTATAATATGGCCTTATATAGTATAGATTGGAAGGGGACAATTTTATTCTACCAAGAAAGTAAAACTTACTAGAACAAATGTTAATTCTATAATAAAAAAGACCCGATTGCTATCAACGTAGCAAAATTACATAAGCCACTAGATAAAAAAAACAGTTTGGAAGATTAAAAGGTAAAAAGAGAAAAAAGGTCATTTCATATAAACGGGAAGAAAATAATTTAATTTTACCCAAAAAAGTAAAACTTGCTAAACAATAAGTAATTTTATGCAAATAAGACCAAATTTCTATTTCAACATTGCAAATTACACAAGTCTACCAGAATATAATATAAATAATAATAATTGGGTTGTTAAAATGCCTTATGCTCCGTTTGCTTCTCCATATATTCCGTGCGCATCACAACTTTTTCAATATTATACTCGCCAGCAGGCGCGAGATAAGTAACGATCCCTAGTAAAAAAAAGTTTTTTATTATAATAAATATTTAAACTTTCGTAAAAAAATATTTATACCAAAAAATATTCTTTCATTAAAATTTTCATCTCAAAAACTTTTTATAACTTTTTATAAGTATTTTATTATATTTTTATATAATTTTATAAAGTTAATTCAAGCGTTCGTTTTAATAAACTTTAATCATTTTATTCTTTGAACGTTTTTGTTACTTTATAACTTCTTTAATTATTATAATAAACCCACCAAAATTAGTTTAATTCATTTTATCATTCTTGTTAAATTTAAAAATTTCTTTAAAATTTTTTCAATAGAGTTAATACAATTTACTTTTTCCTATACCAATTTTTTAATAATAGTAGTCTTTACTGAATTTTTATTAAAAATACTTAAAGTTCTTAGAGGCTTAAAAAAACTTTTTACTTTAAAAAATATATTTTCTAAGGTTTATGATTTTACTAAAAATTAATTTTTATAAAAAATAAGTATCATATTTTATAACTGTCTTTATATTATTTTTACTCCAAAAAAGACAATATTTCTTTTTAGAAAAAATTTTTAGTAAAAATAATAGTAATAATTCTCCACATTAATATAACAATTTATATATATAAACCATACCCACCAATAGCTTTTTTACAACTATAAAGCACGTAATAATGGCGGATTAAAATCTTTTAATCTTAAATTTAAATTTTTTTAACTTATAAAAATTTCCTTAAAAATTAATAAAAAAGATTTTTCTATACACGAAATTTAAGGAATCTAGTAAAGGCAAAGTTTCAATAAAGAAAAAGTCAAAAAATAGCACGTGCTTAAAATCAGATTTTTAAGTTAAAATATTTGGTAAGGAATATTATATTTATTTATATAGAAATAAAAATTTAACTAAAATTTACTAGAAAAAAATTCCGAAAACTTTTAAAGTGGATTAAAATAATAAAGAAAAAGTTTACTAATTTTTATAAAAACAAAATTAATGGTTAAATGAAATTTCTTAAAACTTTAATTTAAAAAGTGTACATAAAATAATTTAATATAAATTATTATAAAGTAAAAAAAATAAAAATTTTTATAAAGGACAAAAAAAAGATTGCAAAAAGAATTAATTTTACAAGTTATTTAAAAATTTCCAAAAATAATAAATTTTTTAAATTTAGCATTAAAAAAAGGTTTCTTAAAAAAGGTAATATAGTTAATAATATTAAACTAAAAAAATTAAACTTCTTTCTCAAAGTTATAATAAACAAATGACAAAAAAAAAGATTGCAAAAAGAATTAATTAAGTTTAAAAAGTTTTCTAAAAATTTTTTATGTAAGTTATAATAATAAAGTAACAAAAACCAACTTTTAATTGGTTATTAAATAAATCAGAAAAAAAAGTTTTTTTTAAAAAAATCATTTTAAAATGAAATTTAAATTTTGTTAAAATTTTTATATGTATAAAAGTTTTTCTTTTCAACAATAGAAAATATAATGATCAAGAAAAAAAACTAGATCGAAAAAATAATAATTTACACGTATTAAATGTTTAGAAAAAAATAATTAATTTTATAGTTATTTTATATTTTTTTAAATTTTTCTAGTAGAAAGAATTCCTAAAAATATTTAATAAAAAGTTATAAACAAAGCAAGAAATTGCAAGAAGAACTAATATGCAAGTTACATAAATAACTAATAAAATTAATTTATTGATAATTTTTATGTAAACTGTAAACCAATTAATTAATCAAAAGTACATTTAGCAAAATTAAAAAAATTTCAAATAGCGAACTTTAAAAAAAGGCAAAAATAAATTTTTTATAAGATAAATACCATTAAAAAATATATTATAAAGTAAAAATATAATTATTTAAAAAAACTAAAAATTTAATAATTATATTTAAAAAATCGCTGTACTCTATACTAAAGAATTGTTTTTTACTTACGTGCAGTTTTTAATAATTTCAGTTTAAATAACTATTAATATTTCATGCTCTTATTATTATTTAATAAAGTTTATAACTACATCCAACAAGTTTTTTTTTTAATATTTAATAAATGATTTATATACTCTTATAGTAAAAAAAATCCGAAAATTATTATACCTTTAACATTCGGTGCGACTAAAATTTTATGTTGAATTAAAATATTTTCTTCAACATAACCAATAACGTCCCCACCCGTTACTTCGTCGCCAATCTGAATAAATAAAAATGATTACAATTTAATATTTATTAATAATTATGCGAGTGTAGCACTTTAAGATTGGAAGGAGTATAGGAATAAGTTTGTTCTCGATCCAAGGGCAAAAGATCAATTCCACGAGGAACATATATACTTTTGGAAACATTATAGATTTCCTGAAAATATTATACTCGTTTCTTAAATTTAAAAAAAAATTATAATAAAATTCCTTCAAAGGCCTGAGAATTCCGTCAAACATTCGACCAAATATTCCAGGGCCAAGTTCAATAGAAAGAGGTTTACCAGTTTTTATAACAGGTTCTCCAACCATTAAACCAGCTTATGTTTGCATATAAAAAGTTATTAACTTCAATAATATAGGGAAATTTTTTTTTAACTAAATGTATGAAAATTTACAGGTTTCTTCATAAGTTTGTATAGTAGCACTATCTCCCTCCAAACGAATTATTTCACCAATAAGTTTCATATGGCCAACTTTTACCATTTCAAACATTGAGGATCCCGTCATTTTCTCGGCAATAACTACAGGACCAGAAATGGCACAAATAATCCCAAATTCTTCCACCTCACTCTCCAACATCTTTATAAAAACTGTAATATAACTTTATAACTTTTTATAATAGGACAAAAGTGCTTTAAACAAATATTTCTACTGAAGTTGATATGGTTATTTAACTAAATAGCTCCAAAGTAAAAAAATAACCAACTTTTAATAAATGTGTCCAATTAAAAAACACCCTTTTCTCTTTCACAAATAATATTATAGGAATCCAGCCAATATCAATTGTTTTCTTTTCTGCTTTTCACATGAGCTAAATTCCGAATGCAAAGCATCTTTGATTAAAATGTCTTACAAATGGTTATTATAATAGTAAAGGCGTACCTTAAAAGTTTTAAGTTTTCTCACTAAGGCATTAAAAAAAAGGGTAAACTTACTGTTTTTATCAGTAATAAAAAAAAGAAGCATTAGCTTTATAAAAAATAAATATTCTTTAATCGTCTAAAAGCAAGTTAAAAAAAAAATTGATTTTAAAAATGTTTCAAAGCTACAAACAACCGGCGCTGTTAATTACCATTAAAAGTTGGCGGTTTAATAAACAAAAAAACCAGATAATTAACAGTTGAACAGTAACAATATTATTAATATTCCCTTATTACTCAAATTATCATGATTATAACAGTTTTTCATCCATAATACAGATAGTTAGATTTTAATTGAGTAGTTTCTAAGTAATTATTTATATAATATTACAGAATTTTTTAAAAGCTTTTTTTAACTATACTTCTACAGCCCATGTGCCACTTTAGTGTCACGTGCTCTAACCGTTTCTTATATTTTTTTTTGTAGGAAAGATATTAAGCTTATTTTGACTTTATGGTCATGAAACTTTTTAGCTTTTTATTATGACTTCCATAAAAAAAGGTTACTTACATAAAATGATTATCTTATTTTATTAATAATATAATCTATTAATAAGGGAAAGGTGGTCTTTTTTCTTCAAGTAAAGATAAATTTTTATTGAAGTTAAGCGAAGATATTCCCAAGAAGAAGCTTTTTCGTTACACCAGAGGACCTCCTATATCCACTAGAGTACAATTTTTACTTATTACCCTTACTTTAAAAGAGTTATATATTATATTGGAAATAATCTATTTATTATTTAGAACATTAAAGACAAAAAGCTTAAATCTAATCTACAACTTCATGAAAAAGTTCTAAAAAGTGGTGCGATTAGAGCGGCTAAATGGAGCTTTTTGCTACAAGAAGAAATAGGGTTTTTTACTTTATTATTTGTTATATTTTATGTACTTATTGTATTTGTTTATTTAGTTATCTGGAAGCAGAAGATACTGAAAAAACTTATAAATTTTCTCAAAATTGTATACTTGAGCACGTTGATCAGCAGACTAAAGCGAAGTCGTTTGATATAAAACTCAATCAATTTGGTCCTTACCGTTTAAATTATTTAAGAAATGGAAGGTTTCATGTTTTTATTATAAATTTACTATAAATTTGTTAAAATTTTATTTTTTTCTTTATAGTACGGCGCCTAAACTTTGCTTTTTTTTAAATTTTTTTTTTTGGGATTTTATAATTTTGTGTTAAATTAATTTTCTTTTAACTTCAATACTCTCCAGGAATTTTTTTTTAATTATTTCATATTGATTACTGATTATTAAAATCCGACTTTTAAACTATATATATAGTTATTTACTAATAAATTATATATTTTTCATAAAATTTTATTGATTTATATATTTTTAAAAACTGGATAACAAATTTTAAGAATAATTTTTTTTATTAAAAATTTAATTACAAAGAATTTACTATACTATTTTTGTAAAATTTTCGTTTTTATATCTTTTTATATAAAACTTTAGTTTCTTTGACATAAACTATTATATAAATTATATAATTCTAATATCAAATTTTTGTTAAAAGAAATTTAGTTAATTATAAGTTAATTATTAAATATTTTTATATAATTTTTATATTTTTAAATTTCTATAAAGATATTTAATTATATTTAAATTAATTACTATTTTTATATGAATTTTTTGGTCTTTAAATTTCTTCATTCAAATTTAGTGAATTACAAAAAAATAATTATATATATATTTCTATAAATTTTATCTTTTATATAATTTTATTTAAAAAAAGTATGGTAAAAACAATTTAATCATTTTAGTTTCTCTACAGTTTTTGTTTTCTAATTTTATTGCAAAAAAATTCAGTTTGTAATAAATTTATTATTATATTTTTATAGTTTTATATAAAAATTTAGATATTAAAAATATATTTTTTAGAATTTATATTTATATTGTTCTTTATTATAAGTTTAAAAAAGAAGAATTTTAAAATTGGGAAACAATTTACTTTTTAAGTTAATTTTTAATTTTTTTTTTAATTTTTGTGTTTTAAAAAAATAATAATAACTTCTCGTTATATTTTTATAATATTAATAATTTGTAAACACCATAAATTTTTTATATAAAAATTTGTTATTTTTATAAGTTTTCATAAAAAATTTCTTTTAATAGAATAATAATAATTATATCTTTTATAAAAATTTCTCGTTTTTATAATATTTTTAGAGATTATTAGTTATTTTCAAAAGTTTTATTTTTTATATTCAAATTTATAATAAAATTTTTTTTTGTTAATATAAAATATAATAAAAAATTTTTTAGGAAAATTTCTCATTTACATAATAATTTGCAAATATTTTTTCAAAAATTTTTTTAATATTTTTAAGATTAATAATTTTTTGCATTTATAAATTTTTTATTTTTATAAATTGCATTAGAAAATTTATTTTATAAAAAATAATAATTATATTTTTTTAATTAAATTTCTCGTTTTTTATTATTTTTAAAGGTTCTTAACTATTTGTGAATATTTTATTTTTTATATATTAATTTTTTTATTTCTTTATTTTTTTATAAATAATTTTTGGTTATCTTAAAAAATTAATTTTTTTTATAATAATTGTGTTTTATAATTTTTTTAAAGAAATTTAATAATTGGAGGGAGAAAAGGCCACGTGGCTGCATGGGATTGGCAAAGCGGTAAATTATTTTGTGAATTGAATTTAAGGGAAACTGTTAGAGACGTTTGGTATTATTTTCTTTTGCTTTTTATTATAAATATATTATTATAATCTTTTTAATATTACAATATATAATGTAATTTTATTTTTATTATGACATTCTTTACAATTATATTTTTGTTATTAGTTTATACAAACTTTTTTTAAAAATATTTTATTAACAAATTTGTAAAGTACTTAAATTTTTTTTTAGCATATCAAGGATTTAAAGTAAATAATAGAATTAATATAATATATTAAATAATAAATAATTAATAAATTTTTTTTTTAAAATATATAAAATAAATATTAATTTATTTAATTTTTCCATAATTTTATACAATTTTTTTTACTGAACTTCTTTTTTAGTTAATTTTAATTTTTTATACTTTTTGAAATTGAATATTAATTTTTTTTTACTCTTTAATGTTTTTGGTTAAATTTTTTCAAGTTTATATTATAATAATGAAATTTTTATTATTTTTAAAAGATTTATAAAATTTATATTTTTAAATTCTGAATTAGTATCATAATTCTTCTACTTTTACAAAAAAGTTTTTTTTATAGCAATAAATTAATTACTATTAAAGAAGTTCAATTGTTTTCATGAAAACTGTTATTAATTTTTTTTGGAGTTTATTTTTAAAATTATTTTACTTTTAAAAAAAATTTATTTACTATTAAAAAGTTCATTTGTTTTTATGAAAGTTATTATTTTTTAATTCTGAATTTAATTATAAAAAATCTTTTACTATTATATATAATCATTTTCAATACCAATAAATTCATTACCATAAAAATGTTCATTTGTTTATGAAAATTTTTATTTTAAAACTTTTAAATTTATTATGAATTTTACTTTACTTGATAGGAAATTCATTTATTTTAGTGAAAATTATTACTTTAAAATTTTGAATTTATAAAATTTTTTTTACATATCTCATTTCTGTTTACATTATTGATTTTATATTTATTTATTCAAAATATTTCTATCAATTCTTATATAATAAATTTTATATAACTTTATAAATAAAACTTCTATTTATTAATATATAATTAAATTGTTAATATATAATTATTTAATTTTTTTTTAATATTTCTTTTTGTGCGAATATATATTTTTTTTTTCACAAAAATTTATATTTTCACCAATTAATATACGATAAATCTTTAATTATACTTTTTTTTAATGAATATAAAAGTTGGCTGCATAACGAAACTTTATTTGCTGTTGCTCAAAAGAAGTTTGCATATATTTATGATTCGACTGGAACAGAAATACATATTTTAAGGAAGCACATCGAGCCCCAGCGATTGGCTTTCCTTCCGTACCATTTTCTGTTGGTCTCAGTGGTAATAGATTTACTTATTATTAGTTTTTTCAATATTACTATTATTAATAATAATAGTAAATTTTCATTGATAATTTGTAATTTATTATTATTTTTATTCATGGAAGTTATCAATATTTTTAGGGAAGTACAGGGTTTTTAAAGTACCAGGACGTTTCCACTGGGAGTTTAGTGTGCGAGCATCGAACGTCACTAGGAAAATGCAAAGTTTTGGCTCAAAATCCTTATAATGCTGTCATGTGTTTAGGCCACCATAAAGGTGATTGGCGCTTTTATTAATGTGTCTATTATGATTGGCTAGTTTCCTTTCTTTTGTGCTATAAATGTTATATAGAAGGACGTTGGGTATTATTATTATTTTATAAGAAGCTGTAGTTTTTTATTTTCATTTTCATTGGTGAAACTTCACGGAATGACAATATTATTGGTTGTATTTTATAATATTTTTTATAATCGTCTACTTGAAAAAGATTTCTCTTTAAAAGATTAAGATTGATGATTATACTTTTATATAAGTTAAATACAATCTACACATATTTTTATTATATTTATATAATTTTGATTGGTAATTTTTATTATTATATAGTTTGATAGAATTATAATGTGTTATTTACATGTAAAAACTTAAACAGAGAACGTTTACACTACAAAGAAGTTTTGAAAAGTTGTATTATTAACTTATTGTAAATGTAATATTCAAAAAACTATAAAACTCATAAAAGTTTATTTAAGTAACTTTTATATGTTAATAATAGAAATGTGTAATCTTCTACTCTTTTTTATTTTTTTTTATTTACTGATAAACACAATGTTTATTATTATATTTTTATCTATTTGTTAATATTTTTACCTATTATATTTTAAAATAAATATTGGTTATGATTATTATCATTCGTTATTTTTATATTATATATTTTTACTTTATAATAAATTTTACAATTTTTATTACGTTATTATTCGTTTTTTTTTCTTTATTTATATTGTTTAACTTTCTTTTTTTATTTTATATTATACCCAATCTTTATATATTGTTATACTTTATTATTTTTTTTATTTTTAATTACGTTTAAAAAATATTATTATTAATAAAATTCTTAGAAACTCAATTATAATATATTTATTACTATCATATTACGTAATGAAATTTTTAGAAAACTTTTTTTTTATTGTTATCATTATTATTAATCAGGTTTGGTCACCATGTGGACTCCCAACATCACCACACCAATTGTTAAAATGCTTTGCCACAAGGGACCTGTTACTTCATTGGCTGTTGACCAGCGCGGACTGCACTTAGTCACTTCCGGTATTATTTTTATTTTAATTATATTATGTATTAAATGTTCTGTTAATTTTAGTTTTATCATATATTATTTTGAAAAATTTAAATAATTATAATGTTATAAGGTCTCGACGGACAAATGAAAATTTGGGACATTCGTAATTACAAACTTTTATATGAATATTTTACCCCAACACCCGCCTCGTGCTTATCGCTGTCCCAAACTAATTTATTGGGGGTTAGTTATGGCCCTCACGTGCAGGTCTATTGCTATTTATTATTATTATTATTATTATTATTACTATTATTATAGATTTGGAAAGGCGCGTTTCTTAGCAAACAGCAATCGCCGTACATGTGCGAATTATTTTCCGGAAGTTGTATTGAAAATATTCAGTTTGCTCCTTTCGAAGATGTTATGGGCGTAGCGCATCAAGTAGTTTATTATTATTACCATTACTTTGTAGTAATTATTATCATTATAATTATTATTTTAACATAACTGTGTAGTATATTCCTTTTTATAAGCATCATAGGTCAGTCTTTGCTGGACCACGTGCTTTTTAATGGTGTCCAATGAAGGAGATGCCTTTGATAATAGGGGCCACTCGAGGGCTATTGTTGCTCTCGTTTATATTTTATTGGTAGGCTTAGCTTACTTTTTTTTAGTGAGACTCCCCACAAAGGGATATTAAAATCATTAAAAATTACGCTAAAAAATATTGGAGCAATAAGAATATGTTTAGTTATTATCCTCATTCTCTAGTTAAAATGCACGTGGCCACACAGTTACCCAGTGTTTCTTTTCCTGTACGATCTTTCGTTTTCTTATTAGTTGTTTTTTACGCTACTTTTTAAGGATTGACTGTTTGCCTTATTAGGAACAATTGTGTTGTACTTTATTAGTCTAAAAAATATTACTTTAATGGTTTGCTTATTTTTTATTGGTTAAAAAAATTTGTCACCCCCAACGCTAATTTTTTCATAGTTCTGGTATCCTCTTTTTTATAAGTGCTATCAGTGATGCGCTGCTTGCTTTTTATTTTATAAGAATTATTATTATATTATATATTTATTTTATTTTATTTTTATTATATATATTTAATATTTTTCTCATTTCTCTACAATTTTTTTATTTATTTTAAAAATATTTTGAAAAAAAGTTTATTAGTTATTCTGGAGTAAATGTTTTTTACCGGTTAACTTTTTATATATAACTTTTCTGTACATATGTATTGTGTAGTATAGGAAAGTCTGCTTGAGTTTTTGTTTTTTTTTTGTTTTTTTACGTTGGTTAAAAACTTTTAGACGATTTATAAGGAATCAGGCACGCGTGTAGCAAAAGAGGTATTTTCATAATAAGTTTGTCCGTCCGTCTTCTAAATTTATGCTAGCAAAATTTTTTCTTGCTATTGACTGCACTGATATATTTTTGACCAGTGAGCATTGTTTAACTTTTTTTTTGAACGAAGTATTTTTAAAAGAGTGAAGAGTTATACATGCGTTGTTATATAAGCATTCTGATTGATCACGACCTTAACACTTTTTTATGATATTCTTGTTAAGCGTGCAACGTGATTTTCTACCAATTAGTAGCTTTTATTTATGTGCCCATTCTTTTCAAAGCGAGGCGTTTCAAGCATGATTGTTCCTGGTAGTGGCGAACCTAATTTCGACGCTTTTGAAGTTAATCCGTATCAAACTAAAAAACAAAGACAGGAAGGGGAAGTAAAAATGCTTCTAGAAAAGGTATTACTCGGTTTCTTTTTGGCTAACGCATTATCATTCTATCCGTTTACTGGTTGCTTTTATCAATTTTCTATTGGTTCTTATTTTTTAATAAAAATTATTACATTTTTAACAGAATAATATTGATTGGTTGCATCAAATATTTAAAGAATTTTATTATTAAAAATAATTTTTTTTTAAAAATTAATTGACTAATTTTTTTAATGATTTTTTAATGAAAGGATCTTTTTTATTGTGATATTCTCACTGGCTCTCTATTTAAATAGTTGAAAATTTTTTATGACACTTTAAAGCTTTCAAAACTTTATTTTATATTTATAGAAAGCTTTTACATACTAATAATTATAATATTAAAAAATAGGAGTATTTATTAACTTTTTTTTACTTATAAGTATTATAAAGTTGTAAAGTTTTTATAAATAATATTAATATTATATTATTAAAATTAATAATATTATTTATTTTATAAAGTTTTTATTATTATTTATTGATTAATAACAATAAAAACTTTATATATTCAATAGAAATATATGAAAACATTTTTAAACTTTTATTCTGAATATAATAATAACTTGATATATTTATTCGAAATTTATTATAAAGGAAGTTATTTAAAAACATTACATGTTTTTGAAAAAATAAACTTTTTTATTTTTTTTCACTTAATAATAATAATCTTATTATATTAAAAAAAACTCAAACTTCACATACATTCTACTGAATAATAATAACTTTATACTTATATCTTTTTTATTTTTTTTTTGATAATATAAATATATTTTTTCAAGATTCCTGTAGAACTGAACTCATTTTACTTATTAAACCAACAATAACTTTTATTTCTATTTAAAACTTTTACTTTTTATATTTTTGCTGATTACTATGAATAACTTTATACTTTAATTTAATATTCACTTTATAAATATTTATATAACATGTTTCATAGATTTTTGCCAGACTGATTATTATTAACTTTTATTACTTATTAACAATAATAATCTATCATTTTTATAAAAAAACTTTTTTTTTTACTAAATAATAATAACTTTCTACTTTTATCTATTATTTCTTATATATATTAATAGAAAATATATATTTTTTTAAGATTCCTGCAGAACTTATTACTTTAGACCCGCACAGCATTACCCGCTTGAGAAAATCTACAGAAGAAGTTTTACTTGAAAGTAAAAAAAAAGAATTTGAGGTGTTTTTCTTGCTTCTTAATAATTTTTTTACGATAAAAGTTTTTTTTATATATTATTATTACTACTTATTATTTTATATAAAGTTCAGTTATTCTATTAATATTTTTTTTTATTTTACTTTTTTTATAGAAAAGTAAAGTTTCTTTATTAATATATATTATTTTAATAATTTATTATTATTATTTTGTACTTTTTTATTATAATTTTTATATAAAGTTTTATTATTAGAAATATTGATTCCATTTGTTTCAAATTTTGTTATATTATATTTATTATTATTTACTTATATATTCTATTTTATTATATATAAAAGTAAAGTTTTTGTTTAAAAAAAATTTAATATAATAAGTAAACTATTTATTATTGTTAAATATTTTGTTATTATTTTTATTATATATTAGTATTATTTTAATATAATTTACTTTTTTCATATATAAAAGTGATGTTTTTATATTAAAAATATATTACAAAGTTTATTATATTTTATATTTATCATTATTATTTTTTAATGTTATTATCCATATTTTTGTTTATATATTTTATTTTTTATTATATATAAAAAAAAGACATCAGTATAAGTATATTTTTGTGTTAGAGTATTTTTTATTTTTGTCATAACGTATCTTCATTATTTATATGTTTTTTATTGTTTTTAAAAAAGCAACGTTTTGTTTATATTTATTATTATTTTTATATATTTTTATTATATATTATAAATAAAAGTATTATTTCTGTATAAAAAGTATTTATTATTGTTTTTATTTTTGTGTATTTTATTATACATCTTATATGAAAGTATAATTTCTGTATAAAAAGTGAATCTATATTATTATTAATAAAGTATAGTTCTGTATTAGTTGATATTATAATTCTTATTTATTTTTTGTTATAATTAATTATTATTTTTATTATTATTTATTATATAAAAGTATAGTTTTAGTATTAAATAATATAATTATAAGTAAAACTTTTATTTTTTGTTAATAATTATATTTTGTTGGCCGCATATTTTTATAATTATTTTTATTTTTATTTATTTTTGTTATCTTTTTTATTATTTTTTTCAGGCAAATAATAAAACTCTCAAGTTTAAGCAAAAGTCAAAGAAACGAGGAAAAAACACTTCAATGAAGCGTTATTTAAGAAAGCAGAAAAATGTTTTAGATGAAAAGAAAGTAATAAAAGTTTATGTGGAAATAATAATATGAAATTTTATAATAATAATAATAAATAAAATAAAAAATAACAACATCTATTAATAATAAAATAAATAATAATAATTAATGAAATATTGCTATCAATAGTTTTAGAAGTTTTAATAATAATAAATAAAATAAGTAATAATAAAAGTGGGGGAAGTCATAAATAAAAGTACTAATAATAAGTAATAAAAAGAAATAGTAATAACGTATATATAATATAATTATATTTTTAATATTTTATATTTCATATTAAATAAAAGTTAAAATTAATATATTTATATTATTAAATTATTCTAATAAACAAAATTGTTCATCATTATAATATAAATAAAAGTTATTTATAAATTCTTTATCTATAGAATAATAATTATAACGACTTTTATAATATAATAATAGTAATAATAACGTTTATAGGATTTAATTTTTATAGTTATAGCAATATTTATTTATATTATATTGTACATAAAAATTTATTTTATATTTTAAATTAAATTTACTATTAGCATTATTATTAATAAAAATATTATAATAAACTAAATTCTTTATATTATATAAAAAAATTTATTAATGAAATATATTTATTTATAGAATAATTATTTGAATACTTTCGTGCTTAATAATTGTAATAGTAATATATTTAAAATAATATTTATATATCATTATGTTTTTCATAATAAACAAAAGTTAATAAGTTATATTCATAAAATATTTATCTAAATAACTTCTATTGTATAATAATAATAATAGTAATAACGTTTATATAATATAATTCTTATATCTATAATAATTATTATTAAATTTTTTAAAATTATTATTAAAAATAGAATTTATAGTATCAATAATTTTTAATAGAATGTTTAGAAAATAAATAATAATAAATATTAACAACTTTTACTGATTTTTGTTATCTTCCGGATTATTATGAATGTTTAGAGCAATTATTATAAACTAATTCGTGAAGATGAACTATTAAATTTCTTTTTAACTATAAACTGTTTTAATTTATAATTAATTTTTTTAACTAAGAAAATTCATTAATAATTTCTTTTAAATATAGTAATTTATTTTGTTGATAAACTTTTAGTTTTTTTTATTTTCCTTTAATTTCTGAATTTTTTCTCTAATTTGGATTTAATCAATTTTTTTATATATCAGAGTTATATTAATTTATATTTTTTATTTATAATATTAATATTTAGCCTATAAGTATAATCTCATTTTACTTTTAATTAATATTATTAATTAATTTGTCTTCTACTTTATAATTTGTTTTTTTTTTGTTCTTTTTAAATTTCTTTTTTATACTTTTTCAATACTTTTTATATATTATTTTGTATTTTTTTTTTAAATATTTACTTTTTATATAAATTTGTTATTTTTAGGTTCTCTATCGGCAGAAATTAGAAGAAATAAAGAATAAGAAATTAAATTCAAAAAATCAGAATTCTAAAGATTCGGACATTCTGGATAGATTTAAACCGTCCCACTACTGAAATTATATTTATTGTTATTGCTTTATATTAATATATATTAATATATTTTTACTTAATTACTTTAAATTTAGTTATTATTTTAGTTACGTTATAAAAATTATTCTGCATTTTTTTCTGGTTGAGAAATTTTTTTACTTCTAAGTAATATACTTGTTTTGAGTTGTTAAGCAAAACAATATATTTTAACTTTTTTGTAAATTAATTTTTTATAGTAGAAATGGAAGTCATTTTAAATTCACTTTACTTAATTTTTATTTTTATATACATTTTTTGGTTTTATATTTATCTCAGTTGAGGGTAGAGTTTACAAGCATCTTTTTAATTTTTAGAATTTTCACTCAATATTTTTGATTTCGATGGCACCCGCCTTATTATTTTTTGATTTGAAAAAATTTCTTTTTTTATTATTCTTAAACTATTCGGCACAACTGAGTTGGTGGCATTATTTGTAGCCATAACTTAATTATTGGAATAAGTTATGTTTCTTTTTCAACTGTGTATGCTAGTAGTAAACAGTTTAATTTAATTAATTATTAAAGTGAAAATGATTAAAAAACTTATATTAATTCAGAAGTTGGAAGAAAATTTAAGCGGAGGATAAATAAATTGGACTAACAAGTTTAAATTGCTAATAAATTGCTTTAAAAAATAAAACGGATTTTTATTTTTTAATTAAGTTTGACAGTTCACAATATTAAAAGGATTGCTTTTTTATATACAGTTAAAGCTACCTCTAACAGTTCTATTTTTTATTTTTTTGCATTTTTGGGCTTTTGTCAAATAAGTGCCTCTATAGCGGCATTACGTTGAGTTTTAAGTTGAATAGTGTTAGAAGTAAAAGATTCCGTCTACGTTAGCAGTAAATATATGAACTTTATATCATAGCGTTCACTCTTTAACCAAATTATGTGAATTGTTAAAGAGATTAGTAAGAGATGCCCCATAACACTTTTTTATTTAGTAGATGTTCGTTAGTTTACTTTCCATTGATCTTCCCAGGAAGCTATAGTTTATTTTTAAAAAAGTTATAAAGAAATATATAAATAATATAAAAGCTTTATTTGCTAATACTAATTTGCTTGGGTTAGCGTTTGTTGTTTTATGTATGCCAGGACTTGCTCAATATTATTTAGCTTGTTTAAAATTTATTTTAGATAGAACAAACAAACAGGCTAACATAAAGTTTTTTTTTTTCTTTTCCTGCACTTATATTAATAGTCTTATGAAGCAGAACGTGTTTACCAAAGTTGAGTCTTCTTCCCGAAGGGAAATTTTAGTAGCGCTAACGAACTTCTCAATCTCATGAATTAATTATCAACTTATCCTTAATTAACTTTATAAACGAAGTGAGACCTTTTTGCCTTTTTAATGAAAGTTAATATCTGTACTAGTCAACACAGTTTCAATTAACCACCCGAAGAAAGACTGAAAAACAAGAGAAAAGAGGCAAATTTGCTAAGTATCCATAGCTTGACACCTTTTTTATTTGTTTTAAATTTGTTGAAATTAAGTTTTCAAATAATTTTGAGGTGGATTACTCCCACGAACCTAATAGGCAGCGTCACTCTTATAATTATTTTAATGATGTAATGTTGGAAACAATTAATTAATTTATTATTTATTATATGACTTTATAAAAATAGACCTGTAATGGACCTTAAAAAAGGGTGACTCTATTGCTATGGTCTCAGGACTTAAAGTTCTCGTCCTTTTTTAGCAGACTGGAGCATCTCAATTCACATAATTTCCGTTATTAGTAATATACCTTGAACTAGTACTTTAAACTTGAGAATTTAGAGGAAACAAATATCTACCCTCTGAAGGCAGTATTTTAAAAGAAAAATTTAAGAAATATACTAAAAAATATACAAATGCATTTTAAAGATTTAAAGCTAAAGGCAATATGATTAATCTTTAACAGTCTATTGTAATACTACTAAAATTTTAAACGTAAGAAAGTGGACGGTACATTTTTAAAAAAGTCAAAACAATTTTCCTCAAAAAGGGAGCTCAAAAGAATAATAATTAAGTATGCTAAAATGAGTGTAGGTGTTAACTTTCATGCTTTGGACTAATCAAAAAATACCACTTAATTAAATAAAAATAAACCTTCATAGTTTATTAAATATTTTAAAAACTACATAATAAATAAGGATTACTGATAGTTGCATGTGAACTACAAAGTATTTATATTATGGAATGTGTTACCGTGGCTCTTAAAATTTTTTTAAAATTTAGTTAAATTTTTAAATAACAATAAATTATTATATTAATTAGCTTAAAGCTTTACAAAATTAAGCTTTAAATCAACAACTTTTATTATAAAGTTGTAAAAGGCGTAATTGAGAAGAATTACTTATGAAAATAAATCTTTAAGAGTTTCGCATTCGTTAGCTTCTTCAATTTTATCGTAAAGCTGCCACAAATTTGCATTAAAGAAGGCTTAATTATTAACAAGTTTTATAAATATAACTTACCCCTTTAAAGTTACCTTTATAAAAAACTTGAGGTAATACACGGCTTTGACTTTTTTTGTGCATTTCCCTTAAAAGAACCAAAAATGAGAAATTTTTAAATAAAAATAATAGAAATTAGCAGCATATGAACTATTATGAAAGCAAAGGAGAATTACTCTTTAATAGTTTCGTTTTCTTTGAGACTAACATCTATTAATTTATAAGGAATTCTCTTGGCGTCTAACATAAGTTTTATCTTATCTGTATTTTTATAAACCTGTAGAGAACTTAACTAAAAAAATTACAACTAAACAATTTTATTTGGGGAAGGTTACCACTGGAGAAGCAGCTACAGAAGAAGTCAATATATACACCTCATCACCAGCTAATGAATCCATTTTAGTAAAAAAGTTATAAACGTACAAAGGTGAAACTGTTAGTTTTTAATTGCAACAGCAACCACACGGGCTTCCTTGCTTCCTTGTTTGGGAGGTAGTTTAATATTTAGCGTGAGGCCTTTAATAATTTAACTTAGCTAACTTCGAATGAGGATATTTGGTGCCAAAAGTATAATGGCAATATAAATTATGTTTATAATTTAAGTATAAATATTATTTAAACATAAACTAAAAGTAGAATTAGTTTTAATCTTTATATCATTTAGGTTTTAACAAAATGTTTAAAAAGTGACCCCTCTCCTAAAAAAACCATCTTTTTAAAGTGAGCCTTTGCAACTTTTTTAATGCAGTGTTGTAGGCTTAAAGGGCAACAATGGTTATTCGAGTAACTAACGATAAGCGTCTTTTAGATAGTTCCAAGCTTAAAATATTGTTATTGAAAGAAAGTCGCGTTTGTCAAGGTAACTTTAGTTATAATTAGTTTATATGAAGGCGATTCAAGGCAGTTACCTTATCTAACTTTTCAATAATAGTAAGTGTATTTAATAACTTTAAAAAAAATTTTTTTTTTTTCAAGTTGGTAAAAGCCGTAGGGCCACGAGTATCTGTACTTTACCGGCTTAAAAAATGGGGGTAGGTGGGAAAAAAATTTATGCAGTTCACTTTACAATAGGAGGAATTAGGGTGAGCAGTATGAATAGTCCAAGAGGTCAAGGAAGAAAAAATTTGTTAAAGACCTCATCGGTTTTATAAAGTTATCGGAATCTTCTAAATTTTAAGCTTGGCTCCTCTTGTTTCGTTTACAAAAGCCATTTAAACCCTTTTTAAACCATCATTTACTTGGTTAAATGCAAGCTTGTCATTTGACAACTTGGTTCTTGTGTACCTCCTCTCTAGTCGCCTTTTTCTGTATTATTACTTTATAATTAATAAATGATGTAAAACAAGCAAAGATTTTGTATTCGGTTAAGAGACTGTAAGAATCAACTAGTACCGATTATAAGAGCGTTGTTCTACCCCGGAGACTAATGTTAAAAATCAACAAAAAAAAGTAGCTTGTCCTTTGCCTTTTTCCTGATACTGTACCAATCTGTTACTTTATTTTCTATCCTTTGCAAATCTTAGGCTGTCTTCAAGCATGGAAATTACTGGTTTGAGATCAAGAGAGAGTACAAACAACGTTTAATAGAAATAAAAGAACAGCTATTCTTTTTTAAAGTAATAACATGAGCGTAATTTAAGGCATGATGGGCCGAGAATCGGAAGGGATCTATCTCAACCATTTTACCACCTTCTGTGAATTATTGAAAGGACACATCATTTGTGTTGGTTCGGCCTTATTAGTCAACAATTACTGCATTGAAGCTAAGAATATTGGATCGATACCCCTTTCTCCTTTAGGTATTATAAAAGCTTAACTTTTATATTATTACTAAGTCACAACTCAACTCATGCTGGACCAAGTCGTAATGGTTCTTATACTGGAATGGAAGAGTAGTCTGTGCTTCTTTCTAAATAATGCTACTCCGAATATGTCTAGCGTTAGGTCCATCTATTCGCAATAAGAAAAATTTAGCTGCATTAACTTTTTGAAAAGTTTTAATACCAGAACTATTAGGATATTTGATCGTTACCGCTAGTTCATAGAGTTCCTACATTTCGGTAAAAAGACCGTCAGCGTAGTAAAAATCAATTTAATATTGAAAGCATCTTATTTCTTAACTTTTATCAGTTAACTTAAATAAAATTACTCCCCTTTAGGAGAACAACTCTTTTTGGCATGCTGTTTATTAAAAAGACGCATGTTAACCTTAATAGAAATCCATTGAAGTTATATAAAAAAGAGCGAGCAAAAAATAGAAAGCAAAAAAACTATCGTATTACAGATTTAGACCAATTTTGTATTTCTTGAAAGTTTTTAGTTATTAGTTCAACTCTTTTTGTTTACTGCTAGATATAGGGATTGTGATTATAGTGAATAAATTATCCGTTAAATAATTATGTTATCGTTCTAATATGTTTATGTGCTCTTATTATTTTAGCGAAAATACCTATTATTTAAAAAGTGATTTACTTTTGATACTTGTTTAAAATAAAGTTTAACTCTAAGAAAAACGTTTCAAGCTCAGTCATCAATTATTTAACTTGAATACGCGTAAAATGTTAGATGCCACCTTTATAATAAAACTTTGACAACCATTTTTAGTTATTAAGTTCGCTGCAAACAAATTTATTAAAGTCAGTAAGTTGAATAAATAATAACCCACTGAAAATTTTGTGTGTTAAGTAAAATTATAAAATAAAATTTATACAGGCGCTAGGATTTCGATAGAATTTAAGAGTGCTTTTTCAACAAAATTAGTAGAGAGTAAAAGCGTGTATAGTTTAAATTGTTAAAAGTCATGTTGTAAATGTGCAAAATGATTTACTAAAAGCACGCTAATTAATCAAATTCTGGTTCGTTTTTATATACTTTACGATGGGATAACGTTAATTTCCTACATTTTAAATCAACTAATGAATATTTAGTTAGTTAGTTTACATTCTTTTAGTCGTCAATATATATTTTCTTACATGGTTTTGTAAATTATCAACTACTTCTGTAAGGTATTATGGAACATAAAACTACTGCTAAGGGATCAAAACTACGTAATTTCAAATAGAGATGAGATGAGAAGTCAAATGGTAAGGTTAATTCAAACCTTACGCGACAGATTTTACTTCTAAAAGATCAACTGCTTTAATTATAATTAGCTGTGCTTTATATGTTAAAAAAGTTTAGTAAAACACAATAATCCAAAAGAGCTGAGGAGTTTTTTTTATTGTTTATATTAACTGTTGATCTTTTTTAAAAATATATATTGCACTCTTACCTTCATTGGCTAGGTCAGGTAGAGCACCAGTTTATAATTAATGATGTACGTAAAGTAGCAGCCATTAAATAAGACTACTCAACGTAGCTTAGTAATAACAGCATTGCCGCGTACAATTAATGTCGCGAGTTCAAGTTTTAGTCGGTGTAACTCTCATTTACTGGTTCTCCATGACCACATCTTTCTTAAAACAACTTTAAATAGCTTTAATAGTCTTGTAGATAAAAATTTATAAGAATCTCCCTTAGTTCACCAAATTATATCTCTTTACTTAAAGAATGTGTCCTTATATCACATACTTGGATATTATTTTTCTTCTATAAAACCATTTTGCAAGTTACTCCCTAACGAGTTATATTTAGTTAAATACTTGTGCAGTTTTCTGGGCTTAACCGTAATCAGGGGTTGAGTTTATTGACAATGTCGAAACCGACGTGCTTCTCTCTATTTAAAATCTGAAGTTTTGTAAATCTTTAACGCTACCTCCACACATTTCTGATGTCTCACATTTAATTAAACAAACAAGATCAGCGAAAAATTACTGAAGTTTAGAAAGTTTTGTAACAAATATAAGACCAACCTAGTACTCAAGTTGTTTTATACAAACTTCTAAAATACATGTCTTAGATCCTAAGGTTTACTATGATTACCATTCGGCAGGTTGACAGAGAATTTTATTCTCTACATAATGAAGTTATATGTAAGTAAATTAAATAACTTCAAATAAATATTATTATTAACTAGTGAAGTTAAAAACTGACCAACAATAAGAATTTAAAAACCAGAAAACACAAACTTTAAAGCAGGTCAGTCAGTCGTATTCGGAGTTTTTGTGGGCTTTTAATGGTAAGCTTAGTCTGTTTCGGGTTTCGACCTATCAAACTAATAATAAACTAGGAATATTGCTAGATAACAATACAAATGTACACTAAAAATTAGCGTTTAGACATCGCTCTAACCTTGCGCTAATGAACTGACTTTCATAGCGCAAGGTTGCGTTGTCTCCATAGTTATTTACTTTGACGTATAACCCTTAAACTTGGTGAGTTGGCTTCGAGATGGAACTGCCTTTTGGTGGCTGGTTGTATGGATTAATATTAATAAGTTAACGTTTGTTTTACATGCCTTTTTGTATAAGGAATACGGACCTAGTTAACTTAAATGATTGGAGTGGTGGTGCTCTCTCATTTCGTCAAAGAATATTACTTTTTTTTTTGCTTTTGCTTTCTTCCGTTCTTTTATTTTCTTTGGTATACTCCAGTAGCTTGACTATTTTTAGAATTATGGTCATACTTAATCCAAACAGGAAATTTTTTTATTTCCCATCTTATGGCTAAGGCCACATAAACTTGTTCTGCTTCATTGTTTTGGAAGCTTAAGTGGAATAGCCTGGTAACAGTGGTTTTTTAATTATATAATTGTATAAAAAGCACCTATTATTTTAGTTTAGCATTGATAAGAGGCCCTCAAGAATATTTTTTAAGCCTTCTTCACTATGAAAAACTCCCATTTTCCGCTCTATACTTAGGAACAATGTTTGGTGCACTTTACTTTGCTCTTCACGTACTATTTTTTATTGTTGCACCGTTACTTCATTACTTTTAACTACTTTTATAAGAAGAAAATTTTTTTGGCCCTGGTGTGCACGGGTTTCCAGATAAGCAGTTTAATATAGTATTACATTCGTTGTTAGTTTTATCTTCTTTTTTAAATCCCTTTTTCTTTAGTTTTCTGGTAGCTTACATACCTGGAGGAATTAAGGGTCTTTGGCAAATGTTTCGCTTGTTATTGAAATCTTCTTCTTCAATAGGTATTTTAATTTTTTTTGGAACTTGAATTTAGTAATATTTATTATAAAACAGGGCAAACCATCCTAAATATTTAACACAACTCGGATCCTTTAGTTAAAAGATGCTTATTATATATTTATATTAGTTAATTCTTTTTTGATATTTAAAGAAAATTTTTCATAAATTATTTAAAACTTACACCTTTATAATTTCGAATGGGCTCGGAAGGATATACTTACTATTGCAGCAGTTTAAATAATTACTTAAAATTATGAATAATTGAAACAAAGTCAACAACTGAGTGTGTCGTGCTTCCAGATTTACTTATAAATTTCAAGCTTATATTATTTAAACAATACAGCTATTGAGGCTTTCAAGATCCTGAAGTTAATTTTTAAACAAAAATGACTTTTCTAATTCATATAAAACTTTATATACTAAAAAAAGTGCTCTTTACACTTCATAACTTTTACCCTTACCCAAAAAATACTTAAAATTTTTAATAATTTTATTAATTTTATTAATGAGGTTCCACTTTAAAAAAGTAACAACTCATAAACTTATAGTCGTAAAGATCGTTTAAAATAAAAACTTGAAAATAAAAATTTATTATTTTTTTTTATAATAATTATATAAAATATCTTGTAGCATACCCTCACCTAATTTAATTAATTTTACCACTACCGTAATAAAAGATAAAATGTAAATTTTTTAAAAAAATAGTTAATTTGACTGGTTTTTCTTCTCTCTATCAAGGGTTTTACATTTTAAGAAGGTAAAATCGTCCTGGATCACACTTAACTATAACTAGTTTGTACTTAAAAAGGCTAAGATAAAAATATTTTTTAAGTAGTAAAACTCTAAGTTAAAAAATTTTTCTTAATCCGATAATAAAAAACCTTGGTTTAATTGTTTCAAAAAATGACTGGAAGATCAAATAGGTCATTTATAACAAAATTATTTAATTAACTTTCAAAAAAAAATTTTTTTTATTCAATTATCACAACTGCCGTAGTATTGCGAGTTAAAATATTAAAAAAAAAATTAGTATAATTTACAACTTAAAAAAAAAGGTAAAGTAGGAAAGCACGGCGTAAGTACTAATTATATTAGTAAGCAAGAACATTTAGAGAGAAAAATATTGTAAGCACATTGTCTTTTTTTTGGTACAGAACTTGTCGTCCTTTTTAATTTTTAGTAATGGTATTTTCTGGAGCTCGTAAGGTTAAAAACATCGAAGTTACGAGCTCTTAACATGGTGATAACGTAAAAATTAGATTTAAGCTTGTACTAGGGCAAATCAAGTAAATAAATTCATATAACCTTAACCCTTACCCCTTCTATTAAAAAAAAAAATTTACCTCCTTAGCGTCGGCGTACACTTTTTTGGTGAGGTGGAGATCTAGCAACAAGCAAAAGTCTTTTGCTAATCGAAAGGTGTGCTAAGTAAGCCATTCATAGGTTTTTAAGCATTGCGTAAAAAACTGGTAGACAGGGAAGCAAGTTGGAGTTCTTGACATAAAAACCTCATAATAAGCAACCAAGACGACCTGTCAAACGGGTAAGAGCTTATTTTACCTCACTTGACAAGTATAGGCTATTGCCAGTAAGTCGTGGGGCCAAAGCAGCAGATGCTCCGATTCTGGAGAGCGTAAGTTCCCTGATGATAATAAGGGCCCCAAAGGTGAACTTATAGGAGTTGAATATATAATAAGGAGAAATAAACAAAAAGTAAATTATTTAACTTTGAGCAAAAATAGTTAACAGAGCTAAGATCCTAGAGTAAGAGGAGCTAATGCGCAACTATATCAAAGCTATGCACAGGCGGAAAAAGTACCTAAGAAAAGGTCGGGATAGAAACAGAACATAAAAATTGGATGTATAAGCAGAAGTAACTTTAAGAGGAAACATGCGATAGGCTTTTTATATAAAGGTGACCTAGTCAACCCTATCACCTTTAGGTTGGAAGTCTTAGTTATCTTTTTAAGCGATGAAATGCAAAACAAAATTTATCATGCATTGGTCGCATTCAATATAACATTTAATGATAATGGGGAGAGGGGCGCATGCTAGATTCATAGCAGAGACGCCGTGTTAAATAATAGGCCGACTACACAACACTTTCAAACTTGGCTTCTTGCGTAAAGTTAGGCACAAAGTAAAGAATACAAAGTTTAAGATCTGTCCTGACTTAGATGTCTACTACTGCTGCGACAGAATACTATAACTATAGTTTTTCATGAGTGGCGAAGTGGGCGCCCCGTTATAAAGATAAAAAAATATAAAAGCTTCATCTCGCACACCATTTGAACTTAGCACAAACTGACGGAGAAAGGAAAAAAATCATAATTTAAGTCATAAGAAAAGGTGCAAGAAGTATAGCTCAAAGCTTAATGTACAACGTGGAAGCAACACTAGTTTTCAGAAAGTACACACAAAGGAGGAGCGATTGCTAAAGTGATTTTTCAGGGTAAACTCCAAAAAAGGATATGGAAAGAGAATATATAGGTTAACTAAGGTTGACTACAAAGTTTCAAAGCGTGTTTCTCCGCTGGTTCTAAGTGATTCGAGTCAGTCATTTTTTTGCCTGGAAGGGATATACCTTCCGGAGCATCCGTGCTCAATTTTTTCTTGAACAGGGTAATACAGATTAAGCAGATTTAAGCATTTTAAGGATTTAACCGTAATATGCCTATACTTAAAAAAAGAAAGGATGTAGTTTATTACTGCTGACCTGGGTAATATTTATGTTCATGTTAAACAACTGTTTAGTTGCAGGTTATATACAAAATAGATAGAAAGAGTTAAACAAGCCGATAGTGAGTACAAAAACCAAAAAGTTTTAAATGAAGCTGCAAAAAGGACCTTATTTTAAAATTTCTATGAAATTATAAAGGAAAAAAAAGAACTAGCACAATGTAAAATGTCCAAAAAGCACTTTAAAATCAAAAAAAGAGAATAAATGAATTAAATAAGGAGAAACTATTATAACCAATATATACCTAGTAAAGCTGTTGATTATATTATTAAAGAGTAAAAATTAATAAACTAATTAATTAGCTTAGAGGTGTCATTTGGAGTTTTACTGTATTAATGTTCCCATTTACACTAAGCATGCATGGCTTAGGACTACTAGCAGGATCAACCAATCGACCATGGCGAAGCCTAAAAAAATGTTAAAGGATAAGGAAAAAAAGGGAAAAAAAGAAAACAAGAGAAAACTTAAAATGCATATTTTAACTAAATTAAACAACTCTAATGGTGTATTACTGATAAATACATCAATTAAAAGTTAGATTTGAGGATTACGTGTAAAATATAATTTAAAAACCGATCCATCATTTATAAATATGTTTATGCGCGCGTGGGCGCAAGCAGCTTATATACCATAAAATAAGATACTCCTTAAAAGATTGAAATCTTTTGTGTGTAGTACGAAATAATTTAATTAAGATTTCTACACCTAATTCCTTTTTTTATAAATAATATAGGCGCTATATTTAAATCGTAAAACTACGCGAAGTGGGGGTTTAGATCTACGCAACCAAAAGCTATTACTAACGACTTAACATTGACTACTGCATTAGATGCGAGGGAGTGAAGATTATTGGAGGAAAAGTTTTTTTAATGTAGTAAGAACGCGTCGCCATAGTATCTCAAGGCTCTATATACTCGGTTAAGTTTTTTTTGCACAAGTAAAGAGCTAATAGTAACCTGAACAGAAATTTTCATTTAGCCAAAAACCACCTATAAAAAGAAAGCTTGTTTTTATTCAAATTACATAAATATTTGTGAGGGTTAAATCGTAGGTGGCATGCATACTACCGTATTTGTGTTCTCTTAGTCGAAGGTAGTTAGTTTAAAAAAAAAGGCTTAACCTTCCAGAATGTTAAAAACAATTAAATAAATTATTGCAGTAAATTCAAATGCATTAATCAACTTATATAATATTTACTATGGTTTCCTCTTGCCAGACAGTAAGTCAACACCCCTTGGAAGTCTTGCTTTACTGCGAGGGCTGATAACCGCTTTTTCACATTATTTAACTCATGCGGGCTCACAAATTACACCGACATACCTTTAAACACTAAATGAGACGCTCTTTAATTAATTATATGTATATTTCTCTTTCTGACCCAATTCAACATAGCATACTTTCTTTAAAGCCTGTACCTAACATGAGCTTACAAAGACTTTGAGTTGACCAATGCTAAACTACTGCTTCCTCCACAGCTATCCCTTCAAACTCTATAACTTCCGTAAAAGTTCCCCCTTTCGGAGTTCTCACTCCCTTTATTGCACAAGTGTCTAGGATGATGAATGGTCCACTTGCCCTGCGGACCTTTTTATTAAAACATTCCAAAATTTTTACTAGAGCTCAGGATTTTATCGCAGAGTCCTTCTATGATAATGGATGATATGTCGTTATTAAACTTTCTTACTAATTTTTACGGTTATATGTTTTGTAGGCCACTCTTATCAGGTACAGCTTTAACAATCATCCTCCAACTCGATTTTGCCAAAATTTAATGAAATTGTAGAAACTAATTTTTTTTTATGTTTTTTACTAATCCAGCGACGCTACTTATAGGCAAGAGACAGGTCTCTGCACAACCATGCGAGAGAGGGGAAAAAAATGTTAAATGTTAAACCGCGCCACTATCACTATATAGTCACTTGCTAATTACACACCTGCAAAGTAGCTAATATATTAAGGCCTCCAGGGATTCTTATACAATTTCAATCGTTTTGTTGCCATTCAAATTTTACTTGGCGTTGATGCCAATTATTTTGTTTACAGTAGTTTAAAGTTACCACATATTGCATTGCAAGTTACAATTTATTAGAAGGCTTGTTATTAAGTAAGGAAACCAAACGTTAATCCCTCTAAGAATTCATGCTATGCTCACGTTAAGGAAAAAGAAAGAAGGGATTTAGTTATTTAATTTCTACTTTTAAGCCTTTTCTTCTTAGTAAACAACCCAAATACCTCAGAGTTAGATAATTAATATTTGAATAGAAAGGGAAAATCCCTTAATAACAATATTAAATAAAAGCTATTATTGTATCAGTAATGAGTTACACTTCAGTCGACCTTGGCATCCAACATAGATACAGTGCAATTACTACGGACTTTTTCATTTACCAAAAATCAAAGCTGAAAATTGCCCAGAGAATATAGAGACAATCGTGGCGGACTACTAGCTAAATTACAAATTTTATGTTTCTCTCAGCGGATGTAATCTTCTACTCTAAATGGTTTTTATGTTAATAAATTCTAACTGTTATTATAAGAACAGTGGATAGTACAATATTTGGATAATATTACTAATATGGCATTAATAAAAATTTTAATATATTAACAGTATTTATAATAGTACTAGTAACTTATATTTATTTGATGTGCACTTTACGTAGCCAGTAATGGAGTTTACTTATCCATGCCCTACCTTTTAAGTAGCCTTACTAAAGCTGTTTATCGTTTTGGTGATGTACTTTCTTTCTAGACATTGACTTTTAAGGAAGAAGGAACACCTTCTTAATCTCTCACTCAAAAAATATAGATTTAGAAGTTTAATTATACACACATAAATGACCTTAGTATAGTAATGAGATATAACAATCAATAAAATTACTTTTTTTTTAACTATTAGCTTGTCTCCTATCGAAAACTAACCTCTTTTCTGGTTAGAAATCTTCTTTATATACCCCTTTAAGTTTTTCTTTTTTTTTTTTTTAAAAATTTTAAACTACTAAAAATTGTATATTCAAGGAATTTGTTATAGCTTCCTAGGCAAGATAGCAGTGTAACTAAATAACCCATTAATTACACAAAGAGTTGATAAAATTGTTTTCGTGAACTAGTAAAATAAAAAAGTAATAATAATGCATTGAAAACTACATGTTCATAAAAGTAGATTTGTTTTTTTAAATAAACCATAAAAACTCAACAATGTAAAAATAAAAGAAATTAGGTAAACCATTCAATGGTCGCTTGAACTTAATTTTTAAAATACCTTTAGATAATCAATAAGTTACCACAATATAATTTTTTTTTTTTAATAAAAATTGGAAGTTATTACGATGTCTTTTAATTACACAATGTAATAGGTAATTTGTAGTCGTATTCTTAAAAACTTAATGGTTCTAATAAAGCAAAATAGCTATGCTAGATAATTTAAATAACCGACAAAAAGGAAACCTAAGTAGAAACAATAATATACTGTTAATTTAAACCTGAAGTTCTCGTGTACTTAAAATTATGAAAATAATATAATATATTTATAAAAATATTAAAAACTGTAGAGTGACATATTAAGGTTGCTCCCCTTACTTAGAGCACTAGTAACCATTACTTGTTCTCAAACAATCAAAAAGTTTAACGTAGTAATTTTATAATCGTTTATTTATCCCAAATCTTCATATAATCCTATCGCTGGGACCTAGGGCAGAACAAGAGACAACTGAGAAATCGACAACCCTTCCGTCCATTGTACACTCGGTTGTAAGTGTTTTAAATCTTTTAAAAGTTTCATAGTTATGTAAAATTGAACAACAGGAGAGCTCTTTGGACAATGTAATTTTCCTATTTATAAAAGGTCATTTTAAACTATATGGCTTACATTACTAGCAATCACATAAAAATACAGTGTTTGTAAAGCCAATAAATTGTAGAAAGTCCCTCCTGCTATATACCGGAAGTCGTTATTTTCCAGTAATCTAAAAATAACAATTGCTTTTATTTAAAAAACTATAACAAAGAATCCAAATATCTTATTAATACAAGTTTTTCAATGATTTTAAAGTCCGGAAAGTGGTTGTTTCAATATAAAATAAATAATTGTTGGAGAGGTCTCTATGTTATACAAGAAATATTGTTTTTGAAACAACTTTGTTTACTTTACGATGGATAATTATTAATGATCAGTACATTAAAATATCAATAATTTTACAATTCGTACAAAGTCTCCAGTTTAGTAAGATTTTTAAATAACTCTGGTGCTATTGCGGTCAGAGAGTTATTAGCAAGATTCCTAAGAGGAATAAAAAATTTACTTAGAACTTTATGTTTACCTCTAATGGCTAATATTGGTCTTCTATTTAGCAACATAAAAGTATTGTTTACAATGTCTCTAGGTTTGTAAGTTTTTCAAAAGTTTTTTCCATCAACTGACGGAACTTGTTGCCTTTCAAGTATCTTTGACGGATAAAATATATAGTCAGAACTTAGATATACATTAGTTAAGTATTAATACAAGTGATTTAAATTTGAAAGTTGGTGAAAAACCTCTGAAGGTATACATGATAAAAAGTTTTCAGAGAGATCCCTAAAAAATAATTTGAAATGCTTATAATTTCTGCAAGTATTAAAAAGACTATAAATTAAAAACATATTTATCATTTATTGTAAATCTCAGCCTAAAGATTACCCTTCCCCCCACCCCGACATAAATTATATATCAATACAATTGGAGAAAACACCCTCGCTGAATTTTACAGGTTTTAAATATACTACAGCAAATTAGTTCTCCTATTTGTGGTTTTTGAACCAAAAGAGCTTATAAAAACTAATTTATCTGGCCTGCCCGTTTACTTTATAGAAGGTTGAGGATTAATCTTGATACCAGCTCAAGTAGTGTGAGGGTACCAAAAGTGGTAGGCTAGGTAGCCTTGAAACTACTAAATAACTATAGCTGAAGGTACGGCTATAGTTCTTAGACACCGTCGGCCTTCCATATATGTGAAACTTTCCTCTAATTCAAAATCAACACTATTAACATGTGAAAGGAAAGAAACAAATCAACAAATATTTTAATAGTGTAGCTCAAGTATGTTTAGTTTGCCAACCCCTATTTACTTAAATTTTTAACAAGAAACCTTAAAATTACACATTTGTTTAGTCTTTTTAGTGCAGATATATCGAAGGTTTATTTCATGTATCCTACATAAAAGTAAGTTTAGGAATGCAAAATTCGACGACTTTTTATTACCACTAAATAAACATTAAATGAAAACACAGAGCTAATTAACAAATTACAACTTTTATATATAATAGTTCTTACATATATTTTAACGCTGTTAAAGAATTAAAATGTTTTGAGTTGATGTCAGAGATATAGTTTTCCTCCAGGGATCTATAGTTTTTAATATGTTTATCTTATTATTATTTTTGATAAATAATTACAAATATTTTAAATTTGTAAGTTTTGAAAAAATTATTGGGTCCATTGTGGAAATTTTGTTGAATCGCAAATCCCTAAATATCATAATAATAGAATAACGTTTAAATAATAATATTTTTTATATATTCTTTACAGCTGTTGCAATGCCGTTATATCTGTTAATGCTTCCGGTGCGATAGAATTAATTAAGTTATGGGTGATTGACCTATTATACGGCACTTATTATATAATGCAAAATTCCCAACGACAGGCTTACTAAAGAATATTTTTTTAGCTATATTATCTACAATGTTATAGTATTATTAATTATGGACTTATAAATATAAGTACTAACAAATAACGAAGTTGTTGAAGGTTATTAAATACGTTATCATTGAGTGCAGTTAGTATGTTGTGGTTGAGATGGCTTTCAAAAATTAAGAGGTAATTAAGATGGAAATCTCCATGAGCTGACTTAAACTTACAGTTCCGTTATCCCAGAGGCCATCTCAAAAGTTCTTGGCATTAAAAAAGATATTTTATTTTCTGAGAAATCCCTTAATGGTGATTCACGAGGAGAATTGCAAAATTAGAAAAGTGTAACAATAAAATTTTGTATGCAGTTAGAAAACCAATTTAGGTCATTAATATAAAATTAGTATTTAAAACATAACGAATAAATAAAAGCAAGATAGAAAAATAACCAACATAAATTTAACTGAGGCTAACTCCTCGGTGAAAGACTTACTAATTGAAGTGATTTTATTATCATTTAACTTTCTATTATATCAAATAATAATTGGTGTATATTATAGAGTAAAAATTATTAACCTTACAGATAGTGCAAACGATTTAATTGTTTAAAAGTTTCTGGAAAGAAATTACTTAATTCGTTTTTACTTAGATCCCTTTAATTACGAAGTTACATTATTTTAATTTTTATTTAAGTAGTAAAGTATATTTCTTTTTTAAACTAGTGACTGACAATTTTAGTAAGCTATGAAGCCCATTAAAAGTTTCGGGAGCAAGAATTCTTATATTATTATTCTGCAAATTTCTTATGTATACATATAATAGTTATATAAAGTATAATGTAGGTTCACAATATTTAATATTACAGGTAGGTTAAATCGTTCATAGTATTAAAGAGAGGCGAATCGATTACCGTAATTTGATTATCACTTAGGTCTCTGGAAAGATTTATAATTATTATTAATGGTATCACACTGCTTACTACAACTATTATTTTGTGATCTAATATATAAATTACATAGTGTGCTACTATGGATATGAAATTTTTTTTTATATAATAAATTTTTTTTGTAGCATTGTTCTATAAAAACATTAAAAAAGTGCTAATCTAAAAATAAATCCCGTGTACGCAAACTTAAGCTACAAAGGACATATCGAAGAATATATAAAATCTTACAAATCCGACAAGTGGGTGAAATTTTTAAAAGCTTTCGGTGGTATATAGGTAATGCCTCTACTTGTTAAATTTCTAGTATGTAAAATAAAAGTTTGAATAGCTTATACTGTTATAACTATAATTAATATTGACCAAGTAAGTTATACAATGAGGCTTATTTTTCCTCTTTAAGATAAGTATACTTGTAACCATATAACTAACAAAGTCTACTCTTTACCCCAATAAACAACTGAGCTTCTTGCCAAGTGTTTTTACTTTCTTTAGATGCGAAAATCACAGAAAGTAACTTACAAGCTCAAACACATATCTTGCATTTGCAATTTGATGAACATCAACTCGTTGATAGATTGAAATATGTATTTCTTTGCCAAAAAGTTAAAAATAAAAAAAAACGTGAAGAAACACATCTTCTTGAAAACTAAGTTCAATTCTTAATTCTAACTAAAAAAAAAAATATTATATAGTGTTAAAATTTTAACATCCTATCCCTTAAATACCCGTTACTACCCACTTCAAGAAAAGGAGATTAAAATAAGTTATTTTAGTTGACGAAAAACTTAACTTTAGCTATAAAAATTAATACACCTTCACTAACAAACTGGTAAAGACAACTAAAAATAGGTATATACTAGAATTTGATTGAAGATGTGGCTAAATTTTTCTAAAAGTTAATAATATTAATAGTAATTAAATTAAATAATTTGAAAGACTTGTGAATGTAAAGAATGCTTTATCTTCTATTCGTAAATTACAATAAAAGAGTTGTGATTATATTTTTTTACTGATAAAGTTTAATTATATCAGATTTGATTAAAAAAATTAAAAAATTAAGAGACCTCCCAGTATCTCAAATAATATGTTAATTAACAGTTTATATTTTTAAGTTGCTTTTATAACGCTCCTTGTAGTAAATGTTTAATTATTGGTGAAATTATATGATATATCCTCAAATTTGACTTTTATGATTCCTTGTTATTATAGTTTTTTGTTATTTTTGTGAAAAATCAAGTGTATGAACACTTTTTATATTAATTATATGGCGTCAGAAGTAAACTCGAATAAAAGAGGAAAGTTGTACAGTTTAATTTAAGTGGTTAATTTAATTTTTTTTTAATGGTAGCAATCATTTTACTGTATTATCAATTTTAATTTTTTTAATAAATAAAAATGAAAGGGGACCAATGGATTTATACAAGTAGAAGCTTTGACTAAAATCTTTTTAATCAAGGAAGTTATTTTATTGGTCGGTTTCGGGTGATAACACACCAGTACATTGGGCATTACTTCCTCAACTAACAAAAGACAATTGAAACAACATAAATTTTATAAAAAGTGTGATTACTCTTAGGGTTACATTGTACCAAGTACAAGTCCTGGTTTTAATGAGTGACACTATTATCACACCCATAGCTATGACAATGCTAATATAATTTTTTTTTGTTACCATATTTTTTGTTTAGTAAAAATTTTGTAAAGCCTTTTAATACAAACCTGTTTTAATTATTCTTAAAATCGAGATCATATTATTTAAGTCTTAGGAACTGCATCGGAGGTGTTTTAGATGCCAGGCAGATAACGTGAGTTCCACTGCCCCTACTTAATTAACAAGCAAAAATTCAAGCTTCTATGCAAGGAAAAAAATGCCCTAAAGTGTCATACAAATTTTATTAACATTTAAAAAAACTAGCTAATATTATACCCTGCTTATTAAAACTTGACTAAAATTTATTTCCTTTTAAATTTTAACCCAATGTCACCGAATTTGATTAATAAATCACTTACTTTCACCCAGTTTATAAGACGATTATCTGTTAAAAACACATGAGCGTCATTGAGAACAACCTGTAACTAATTTCTTATCAATTTTCGTAACTGCTAGCCTAATCAAAGATTATTTAATATTCGATTGGGTAAAACGTAAATTTTTACGTAATTGGATTGTTTCTAACTTTGTTAACTGGTGCAAAAAAAAATAAAAGTTTAAAGTTTGCTAAAGCCAGGCAACAATCAATATTATTTTTGAATTATAATGGAGGTGTCCAGCAAGGATGCACCTGAAATTATCATATGTAGTTAATCATTTATGTATAATATGAATGAACTGCACCTCAGTCTCTTTTGTCTTTGCCTATAAGGTATGACAGCAGAATAGTTAAAGCTACTTACTACCTCTCTTAATATAATTTTATTGTAATAAGCGCTACAGACAGCTAAAAGATTACGCGAGCGGGTCTCAACTAGCAGAAATAAGTCTTCCACCCGTAAAGCTAAAACACTTATTTGTGCACCCACGTTAGGACGCCGTCGGATGGCAGCGGATGAAGGAACTAAGATTGAGGTTCTTATACCCCACAATACTAACGAAGGGTTAATTAACTGCTGTCAAATTACATGATGTAAGCAAAATATCTTTTCACAAACGATGAACTAAAATCCTTTTAGAAAAAAAGATTTCTTTTTCAATTTTTCCCTTGCTTATAAGTTTCAAAATTTAAGCTAAAAAGCTAAGGCGTTCCCATGGGCTTTAGACTAAGGAACGTTTAACTGTATTTGCTAAAATACGAGATTATAAAAGGAAAATTCTACTTTAGTAAAACTTTTATTTTTTAATTTTATGTCTATGGTACACATCAGCATAATTAACGATGAGTTAGTTTCCATGAAGTTAATGAGATAAACAAAGAAATAGATCTGCTCCAGTGTGAAACCTAGCGGGCTCCAGTTGATCAGCTCAACTCTTAAATACTACCAACTGAAAATTATCGAGCTA